CAAGGAAGAAAAATAAAGCAGATCAGCCTTAAGAATAATTTTGTATTTAAATATACATCTTCCATTTCAGTATTTCTGTATGGTTAAAATATGCTTTTATTTATGTTATATAATTTAGTCCTCAACACACCTTTAGAGTAGATAGGGCTAATATTATACCTATTTGACAAATAAGTAAACTGGGAGGCACAAAGAGGTTATGTGATTTATCAAGTTACAAAGCAAGTTATGGATTTGCAACTGTGTTCTTTCCTGTCCAGTGATTTATTTCTAAAGTATTCTTTTTATAAGTAAAATTCTTATATTTATTTAAAAAAAAAAAAAAACCTCTGTGGACTATAATGATAAAAGTAAAAATAAACCATATGCCATGAAAAACCTCTTTTGTTTTCTAGGGTAACAGAGGAATGTTTTGTAAAATTAAATAGGGTTTTATTACCTCGTAAAGCTAGGAAGTCACACAAAGCGAGGAGCCTCTGTGAAACTGCCTATGATGAACATAAAGTCTTTCATTAGTAAATAGTAAATATATGCTGATTGATAACCTACTTCTGAAATATGGAAAATATTCATAATTATACTTGCTATTGGCCATATGGAGCTCTTCAGCCAACTTTCCTATTTCAATGTCTTCAGTAATAGTCATAATGTAATTGATTTAAAAGATTTAAAGTTTTGCTGAATGACTTCAGAAATTTTCTTTTTCCTTTTTTGGGGGAAAACTTTAGGTAAGCTCTCTTGGACAAAGATCTCAAGTTCTTTAGGGCTAGCTCTTAATTTCTGTTTTTCACCTCCAGAGCTGACATGATGCCACTTGTCCGAAGATTCTGGCTCTCTATGAACTGGCATGCTACTGAATTAACACTAGTAACTAAAGTTTCTTATCTCACAGTTCAGTTAAAAAAAAAAAAATCAAGTGTATCTTGGGCTAAGATTAAAAAATACGGAAAGAACCACTAAATTTGTAATGTGCAATTTTCAGTAAGATAGAAATCGAGTGAAATTTTTATTTCATTGAAAGGTAATGAAACTAATACATATTTTTATATTTTAGAAGGAGCAAAGAGAACAATTGAGGTATCTATTCCAGGAGCAGAAGCCTCAGAAAGCTCAAAATGTAGTACTGTCTCTCCTGTCAGTGGGATAAATACAAGAAGGTAAGTTGCAGAGTGAATATTTACTTTAAAAAAAAAAAAAAGGAAAAAAGAATTTGGTATGTATTTTATTCTCTTTGTGAAAAAAGGAAGTGTACAATATCTGACTTAGGTTGAGACAGACTCATGCAAAGAGAGTAAAATAATTGGAAAAGAGAATTTTGAGGGGAAAGGGAGTGAGGAATAAACTTTAAGTTGAAAGGCATGGGTTTGCTACTGAAAACAAAAATGAGATAACACATATGTAGAGTATTTATGGGTTACAAAATTAGGAGGTGATGTATGACAGGACAGCTGAATTGACCAACAGTATTTTCCTCCTTCACAGTAAATGAAACTGAAGCTCTCAGAGCTAATGGGGTGATTTGTCTAGATGGGTCATATGATTGGTAAATAGTGACACTAAGGACATACCTGGCCTTTCTCTCTCTACTCTGCATCCTTACTATTGTACTGTGCTGTTCCAGGTCTTGTTACTCTTCTACTACCTGGACCTTCTTCCCCATCCCTGCACGTTCATTATTGAAAACTTATCCATAAAATATTGTAATGGCAGATACATGTCATTATACATTTTGTGAAAACCCACAGAATGTATAACACAGAGAGTGAACCCTGATGTAAACTATGGACTTCAGTCAATTATAACATATAAATATTAGATCATCCATTGTAATAGATTTGTCACACTAATGCAAGATCTTAATAATAGGGGAAACTGTGTGTGTGTTGGAGGTGGGGGTTAAGGGGTATATGGGAACTCTGTACTTTCCACTCATCTTTCCAAAAACCTAAAACAGCTCTAAAAAGTAAATTGTATTTGTATTAGTCTGTTTTCATGTTGCTGATAAAAACATAACTGAGATTGGGAAGAAAAAGAGGTTTAATTGGACTTACAGTTTCACATGGCTGGAGAGGCTTCAAAATCATGGTGGGAGGCGAAGGACACTTCTAACATGGTGGCAGCAAGAGAAAATGAGGAAGAAGCAAAAGCAGAAACCCCTGATAAACCCATCAGATCTCATGAGACTTATTTACTATCATGAGAATAGCATGGGAAAGATCGGCCCCCATGATTCAGTTACCTCCCCATGAGTCCCTCCCACAACACGGGGGAATTCTGGGAGATACAATTCAAGTTGAGATTTTGGTGGGGACATAGCCAAAGCCTATCACTATTAATGAACAAATAAAGACTTACAGGTTGGTGAAAATAAGTTACAAATAATTTACCTCATTTGGACCTAAGTCAGCCATTTGTTTTCAAGCTCTTGCCAGTATTGAGAATTGTCAGTTGTTTGCATAGTCTTTTAAGGTTAATAATGATAGCTCACTGTCTTACTCTGTTTTATTTTTCATAAATAGATCTTCCGGGGCTACTAGTAATTCTTGTTCTCCACTAAATGCCACCTCAGGAAGTGGGAGATTCACACCTCTTAATCCAAGAGCAAAGGTACATGTTAAAATGTAATTGTGAAATGTATATAGGGGTGAGGGTAGAAGGTGGCTGATTTAGTGATTTCCATTCTTAACTATCATTCCTGTTATCCTAAAGCTGATATGGTATTCTTAACAGAAAAGAGATACTAATTTACCTTCATTAGGAAAAACAAGCCATATACTTCTTCTGTTTTCTAGGGTAACTAAGGAATAAGGTAAAATTCAGTAGGATATTCAGCAGTCCTTAAAGGCTGGAAATTACTGGTTTCAGGTAGAGCTTCCCAAATATTATGGCAGGACACACAGGTGTGCCTTGAATGGGTTGTAGATCTACTAAGCTATTGGTTCCCCCAGTCCTTGTCCCTGGGTGGGGTCTGGGACAGCCAGAGCAGTGGGTCCAGTCACTTTTCCTCTCACTTTATCCCTGTATGCCATATCTGACTGTGCCATTGGTTAGATAGGTTATGGTCCCAGGGAAAAATAAATGTCTTAATGTGCTCTTCATGTATTTTGTTGTGCCATAGGTATGTATAGAAGCTAAGTATTTCACAGTATATTCAAAATTTTTGCAGAAGGCTTTTTTTCTGTGGTGCTAGTACAGTAAAATATAGTTCCTTTGAGTGGTTATAGTAAATTCTGAGGATATCTTTAAAATTATAAGAATTAATTTTGTAGACTTGAGCCAACAACTGTCTGACATTGGGAAAATCTTTGCGTTTCTTATTACTGAGTTCAGTAATTAGATCAAAGAGTGGGTGCTTATAGCCCAAATTAAATGATAGGGGAAAGATATTAAATGATAGGGGAATGATAGATACCCATGTCCTGGAATTGTTCTCAATTCTCGGTAAGATTTTATTCATTTGCCTACTTTCGTTACATCATCAGATTCTAACAAAAGCTCTTAAAGTAAAAAAGGGCATGCAGTTTAGTACTATGAGGCGAGAATCGTGAAGGGAGTTGCATACTAGGTTCCCTGGACGAGACTCTCTCAGTAACATTTAATTTACTAAGAACAAATAACTGCCTTTTTATCATTTTAAAAGTTTATGCCTATGATATCTATAAAACACTGGACTTAAAAAAATTATGACTCCTAAATCAGTAAGAGGATCTGTTGACCAAGTAATTAGTTATTTGATATAGTATCTCTATTAGAGAATAAACATTGCCAATAGCAATTTAATTTCCAGTACCATTCAATGGCACAGGATGACTTTGTTTTATGCACTTGGTCTAAATGATCTGTAAATCTTGAGTAGTCTCATGTTTCTAATTACCATCTAAATTTTCTCTGTGTCTTTGTTCAACAGATGGAGAAACAGAATGAAGAAGGCTGGTTTGCTCTTTCTACCCATGTATCATAAGTGAAGTCAAGTCTCACTGAGTTTGTTCTTAATAATTTATTACTCCCCTTTCCCTGCTCTGACTTTTAAGTTTTTATATCCTTCTTTCAGATAAAACCTACAAAGATCTTGTGAATTAGTACTAATGAAACAGAGAAATAAAGCGATTATTTTTTGATTTTCTCAAATAAGTTTTCAACAACCAACTGACCTACAGCTCCCTGTGAATGAAATTTTGACTGTAGAGAAGTTAAAGCTTTGTATTTTAATACTTTCTTAAATATTTTAAGGGTCTTTTTAAATACATTTTTACCTTTATCATCTTTATTCAGGGTTTTTTGAGGTTTAGTGTATCTTAGTTGATTCATTTATTTTTTTATTTTCCTGAAGAACTAATTTGCTTTGCATGTAACTTACAATAAAATTCCTCTGTGTGATTAGAGTCTGGCTTTCAGGCAAATGTAACACCCACTTTTCTTTCTTTTTTCTTGGGAAGTCATTGCTGTTCATCACTTTTTCCATCAAGTGAAATATACAGCCTTAAAAAAATAGGCCTGGGAATGTTTGTTTATATTTGCGTAAGCAGGTAAGAGTGGTTGCATTTATTATAAAATCTTACGTAGTTTTTAAACTGTGAAAATGTCATCAGTAATGGTAATGCAAATCAAATAAAAAATGATTCTAGAGCTCAAATACCTAAATGTGGTAACATTGATTTATTGGTATATTTAATTTTTCAAACAATTAAATAGAAAAAGTTGCAATCAATTTTCCCAGCCCTGAATTTAAGCAGATCTTTCAGGGTAGATTTCTCTTTTTTTTTTTTTTTCCTTTCCTTTCTTTTTCTTTTTTTTTTCGAGACAGAGTCTCGCTTTATTGCTCAGGCTGGAGTGCAGTTGTGTAATCTGGTTCACTGCAACCTCAGTCTCCCAGTTTCAAGCAATCCTCTTGCCTCAGCCTCCTGAGTAGCTAGGATTATAGGTACATACCACCATGCCCAGCTAATTTGTGTATTTTCAGTAGAGACGGGGTTTCACCATGTTGGCCAGGCTGGTCTTGAACTCCTGACCTCAAATGATCCACCTGCCTTGGTTTCCCAAAGTGCTGGGATTACAGGTGTGAGCCACTGCACCTGACTTAGGATAGATTTTTCCAGGGTACCCATTGGGTTATGAGATGTTGATTTCTATTTTAAACTTGTTTTTTGAATGATCTCTGCTCCTTGGCTCTATGATAGGAATTCTTAACCTGAGTGAGCAATTCAAACTGAGATTACTTGTGTTTAGACTCATATATTTGGATAACATATGACTTCTCCCGTATGCCCCAGAAAGCTGCTAATGACTTGCTCAACCTGAAATTTACAGTATTCCAAATTACAGGTTGGCAGAGATACTGGATTCATAACATCCACAGTTATGATATAATCATTCTTATGCTGTAAACAAAATGATTTTGGTTAGCAGAATTTGATAACTGTTAACTACCTACTAGGCACTATTGTAGCCACTTTATGTGCTTCATGACATCTTATGAGATAGGTACTATTATCCTCATTTTGCAGATGAGGAAACTGAGGTACAAGGAGGTATTTTCTCAAGGTCACACAACTAGGGAGTGGTGGCACTAGAAGGGGAACATAGGCAGTCTTTCTCCAAAGCCTATGTTGTGCTGCCTCTTGATGGAGAGTAAACCTGTTTTATAGTGTGTGTAGTATGGAAGCAGCATAATAATAAGAATAGCTGTTCCTTATTGAGCCATTACTGTGGCAGACACTGTACTATAAGCTGCAATATCACCATTATCTCATTTGAATCTCATAGTAGCCCTGTGAATTAGAGGTATGTAAATGCTTCCTCCTCTCCCAGCACCTTTACAGATGAGGAAACTGAACCCTAGTGGTGAAGAAAGTTGTCTAATGACAGAGTGCTTGTAAGAGGTAAAGCCAAGACTTGAAGCTCTTTCTTGCAGTTATTGGATTTCTCCTAATTTATGGGAACTAATACAGTACAGTATCTAAGGATGCAAGTACTGAAACCAGAAATCTTGCCTCAAATGCCATTTCTGCCACTTGAGCTGTGTACTTTGGACAGATTAATCTCATCTTTCCCATTTGAAAGTCAGACATAATGTCTTCCCTAGAGGCTGTAAGGATTAAGTGAGGCAAGTGTATGTAAATGGACTGAGCTCGGAGCTTGGCTCACAACACTCAGTAATCATCACTGCCCAGTGTTTTTTGTGTATAAATAAATAAATACACTATTTCCCCCATGTTTCCATTTTTTAAAACATTGTATAGTGAATTTGTTGTATCTTTCTCAGATTAACAATTGCACACAGTGCTTGAAATGTAGAGGTATTTCACTTGAAAAGATATCTAGAGGTTGAAAGAAAACATGCTTGGCATATGATTTGAAAATATAACTAACATGCTATTTAAAAATAAGTTTACCCTATGTTTTCTATCTTTTCTGGCACCTAGATATATCATTTAATAAGTAATAGCAAGGATAATCGTCTATTTTTTTAAGCCCTGGAAAACCTTGATTGAAGAGGACATGTCAGTATTGCAAATAAATGCATGGTATTTGTGTAACATTGTGGAAACTAATAAACACAAATTGTACTATAGCAATTTTTTCTTGCCAATTTTATTGACAGACAATTTATATACAATAAACGACATCCATTTAAAGAGAACAGTTTATTGGCTTTTGGCAATTGTATATACCCATGAAATTACCACCAGAATTAAGACACAGCATTTCTGTCATTTCTAAGATTCCTTGTGTCTCTTTCCAATGCATCTCACTAAGTCCTAGGCAACCACTATGCCCAAGTCTCTAGACTATCTTGGATGTGGAATGACTTTGTGTATGTTTAACTTTTGAAGAAACCTCTCAAATAATTTTCCAAAGTGGTTATGCCATTTTACATTCCCAACAGCAGTGTATGTGAGTTCCAGTTGCTCTGTATCCTTCTGCATTTGGTGTTGGCAATCTTTGAAGTTTTACCCCTTCACGAGGATGTGGAGTTACGTGTATTGTGGTTTGTATTTCCCTTATGACTACTGTTAAGCATCTTTCCATGTGTTTACGGGCCATACATATATCTGATTTGGTGAAGCATTCAAATCCTTTGCCCATTTAAGAAATTTGGTGGGTTTTTCTTATTGAATTATAAGAGTTCTTTATACATTCTGTATACAAACTCCTTTGTCACATATTGGAATGACGGTTTTAAAATAGTATTTGGTAAGTAATAACGTTAGGCTAGGTACTTTACAAAGCAGTATGACCACAGTACTACAGAGAGGTTGAACAAACTGCTAAACCTAGAAATCTGTCAAGGGAGGCCTCTACTTTTTTGCCCAGAGCGCTGCGACCAAGAAACCCACAACATAAAACCTTATTTACTCTTAAAAGCCAACAGAGATGATATAGCTTTAAAAATAACAAAAATCCCACCATGTATCTTTGTTGTTGATGTTGCCGGCAAGCTGCCTACTATCTCCCAGGACCCCTCTTAAAATCGAAGTTAAAACCTCAACATAGGAACGCCGCCATCAGGGTTCCGTTGGTCCATTTTAGAATATCGGGCAGGTATCTTCGACGGTATTCATGTCATTTAATTATCTACATGACGTCCTTTAGGGGATAATAAACTCGTCGGGCTTTTCTGTTTGGCTTTGAACCAGTGTCATGAGACGGAAAAGGCCCGACCAGAGGGCGGACAGGTACCCGGTTCCCAGCGTCACCGCTGCTAGATGTCCCGGAAAGCTGGACGCCGGCCGCGCATGCGCCCCACGGCCCGCCCTGGTTCCGCCTCCCTGGAAGAGGGGTAGCGTTGCCTCGGTAACCGGAGTAAACAGAGGCCTCCGGCACAAGCTGTGAAGAGAGGAGCCGCGGCGGTCAGTACCTTCGGTGAGTTTGGACCTCGGCAGACGGCAATTTCCACACCCTCCTCCTTAAATCTGTTTGTGGCTTAGAGGGCAGCGAACCCCACTTGGGCTTCTCTCAGGCTGGACCAGTGTTCCCCAGGCTGTGCTGAAACACAGCTTTCGTCCTCCCTGCGGTAGCTCAGCAAACTTTTTGAAGCCTGGAGTATTCTCAGGCTCGGAGCTAGACACTGTGTGCACGGTTCCTGCCTGCGAGATCCTTTCAGTCTGACCGAGCAGAAGCCAGCCAGGCAGCAGGAGCACGGCTTAGACCCGAAGTCAGAGCAGCAGCGAGTCTGCTGGGAAAGTGCTGGGACTCCCCGCTCCAGCGAGGCACCCACCCTGCGCTCAGCTGGGTGCGACGCTTGGCACGCTGGGCTCTCTTCACTCCGGCTTCCTCATCTCCAGAAAGAGAGGTGATAATGTGACCTCATGGAGTTCTTGTTATTATTATTAAATAGGATAATACAAGTAAAGTGCTTAGCACATACATGGCACATAGTAGGTGCACATAAATATTTGTTGTATAATAGGTAAAGACAGTCGCATACATGTGTGCTGCTCAGTGTGTCCAATCAATCATGAGTTGCTAAGGATGCGTGCTGATGAAAACCTTGGAGAGGAGAAGGAGCTAAGGAGGCTAAGGAGAGAGTGACTGTAGCTGGGCTGCAATAAGCTACAGACCCTCTGACAATGGACCTTTACGCCAGACCGACGAATCTGAGCTCTTATTTGATGGCAGTGATGAGCCATTAGAAGTTTTAAGCAAGAGTGGCACATTAAAAGCTGTGTTTTAGAAATACAAGCGATAGTGTAGAAAATGGATTACAGAAGGGAAGACGAAGTATGACGGTACAGTAATGATAGCGGTGAGACACAATGAGAACTGGAACTACAGAGGGACAGCAGGGACAGTAGGAATGAAGGGAAGGGAGGAATTCAAAAGGCTTAATCACTGGACAGTTAGTAACAGGACTTGGAAATCATTTACATGAATTGGGTGAGAGGAACGGATTCAGAGTAAATGCACTGCTTTCTCATCTATAAAATAATGACAATAATAATAATGGATAGCAAGACTTTGTCTCAAAAATAGTAATAATAGGCTGTGCGCCATGGCTCACGTCTGTAATCCCAGCACTTTGGGAGGCGGAGGTGGGTAGATCACCTGAGGTCAGGAGTTTGAGACCAGTCTGGCCAACATAGGGAAACCCGTCTACTAAAAATACAAAAATTAGCCGGGCGATGTGGTGTGCGCCTATAATCCCAGCTACTCAGGAGGCTGAGGCACGAGAATCGCTTGAACCCGGGAGATGGAGGTTGCAGTCAGCTGAGATCACACCACTGCACTCCAGCCTGCGTGACAGAGCGAGACTCCATGTCAATAAATAAATAAATAAAATAATAATGGTACCTACCTCATAGGGTCGTTTTGAGAATTATACAATAATATGTGTAGAATTTCTTAGAACTGTGCTTGACACATAGTAAGCAGTAAAAAAGACAAACTATTACTTTTTTTCTCCACAGCTGTATTTCACATTGCAAAGTAAAAACTGAGAGCCTGTTTTATACATCAGTCACTGTGAACTTTAAATTACCACCTCTGGCACACTGCTGGGATTGAGTGAGCTTGTGAGCCTGAGGACCACAACCTGGACTCTGGTGAATGAATCAGAGTAATGCCACTTTAGAGAGCGCTCTGTCTGGCGTCCAGCCAACCCTTATAGCAACACACTCCTCTGCATCAATGTGTACTATTATTTTCCCTTTTTCTTTATACTTCCTTAGGGTTGACCCTGTTGACCTAAATAACATACAGAGAGAGGCTTTCTAAAAGAAGATAATGTTTATTCAGGAGTAAGGTATTGCAATGGGATATGCGTGCCATGGTAAACTATATGTGTATTCAGGGAGGTAAAGGAAAACAAAGGTTTTTAAAGGAAAAATGAAAAAGATTACATAATTATTTTGAGATAGTTATCATTGGCTACAAAGGTCAACAATAAGTGTGATGCTAGTCTGAGGTTGGACAGGTAATTGTTGAACAAATTTCCTTGTAGAAGTATTTTTTTTTATGTGTAAGGTTGTGATGGCTTTGTGCAAGGCTGTGGTCTTTGCAGTCTTTTGGGATAGTTATCCAGCATAAAAGTGTGAGAAACCATTCTTCATAGCCTTCCCCAGCTCTATTTGTCAGGTTATTTCTTAACACTGGTGACTCCATTGTAATTCTGACAACTTTCACAGCTCAAAACTGTACATTCTATCTAAAGAGTTAGTTAAAAGAATTGGCCGTAGGCTGGACCAATAAGCCTGGATCTAATGAAAGGGAATTTATGCTAGTCCTGAAAATAGACTCACAAACCTAGCTAGTTTACTGATAGAAGGTAGAACATGGTCTAGAACCCAAACTTAGACTGCCTTAAAGGAATACAATGAATGTCCCCAATAGGTGAATTGGTAGTTCCTCTCTTGTGGAGAGTGTCCAGATCCTATGAAGAGCATATAGAATTAGGAGGGACATATGATGCACTGGGAATTAACTTCTTGAGCTATCAGGGTAGTAAAGTTGGAACATGTCATTGAGGAATAATTGAAATAATTGGGATACTTTCTCTGGGAAAAGAGAAGATCTGGAGAGAAATGAGAGCCAACTACAATTATTTGAATGGTTGAAGTACACAGAAAAGCTTGTTCTGTGTGTTCTCAGAAGAAAAAACAAAGGTCAAATGGATCCAAGTTGCAGGGAGGCAGATTTCAGCTTAATATAAAATGTGCCAAGAACTAGAGCTGATCATTAACAGAATGTTCTCACCCTCTTACCCGAAATATTTAAATTGAAGCTGACTATCTTGTTCTTTCATTTATTCAGAAATATATTAATAAATTCATTCCTGCAACCATTTTACATATTGACTGCCATGTATCATTGTTAGAGCTTTCCTGTGTTGACTCAGAACAACCTTATCCAGTAGGTGCTGCATTTTAAAGATGGAAATACTGAGGCACACAGCAATTAAATACTGGGTTAGCACCTCACAGCCAGGAAGAAGATGAGCCAAGATTTAAACCTAGTCAGACTGACTCTGTAGCCAGTATTCTCAGCCCTGGCCAACACTGGTTTTCTGACAGTGCTGGGGTGGATGCTGAGGATGTGTGACCTGCATGGGGTAGCAAGTTAAACTAAAGTCCTCTTTCAACTCTGAAGATTCCATGATTTTATTTATTGAACCCTACCTGTCTCAAAGAGAATATCTAGGAGTATAGTAAAAACAACTGCCATTTCTGAGTGCGTAGTAGGTGTTTTATGTAAAGTCATGATTCCTAACCAGTTCTTATGCGTGATTGTGTGAAAGAATTATCTGGAGAGTGAGACCCTGTTAATAGTACATTTTTAAGTTTTCCAAGTGATTCTAAAGTGCAGTCAAAGTTGAGAACTCTGTGTATGAAAAATCTCGTTTAACTCTACCAAATAACCGTATCACCCCCATTTTACATATTAAAGAATCAAGAGGTTAAGGAACTTGTTTCTTGGGCAAGCAGGGATGTGAACCCAAGTCTCTCTGGCTCCAAAGTCTCCACAGGTTACAATGTAGCTTCCCAATCCCTTTGTTATTAAACCAAAACAAACAAAAAACCTCCCCGAAACAAAAATACCTTATTCTACCCTACCAGTTATACTGATAATCTCCAGGAGAACAGGAGTCTCTCCCACCTGACCCGCTCCACTGCTTTTTACAGGTTCTTCAATTACCTTTTATGACCCAGGAAAGCTAGGAATAGATCCTAGTATTCATTGTCCAGTATTGCTACATCAGAACACTGGGCAAATTCCTTGGGTTCCGGTATTTTCTTCCACATTGTACACAACCTGACATTAACTGGGTTTGTGATGGGAAAGTTTATTACATGGTAATATTAGCCATTTGAGGAATATATTGTTTAAGATAGCACAGAATAAAGTGTGGTGCTTTTGTCTTGACACCAACTTACCTTTTGTTGTAGTCCAACTTTTTTGTTTTCAGAATGCTTTAGTTACCATAATTGTTTTTTACCCACCTTATGATTACGTTATGAATAAATTATGGGCTCTTTTTATTAGAATCTATATCCAGTTAACATTGTTATAGTGTTAAAAATAAATGTATTCAGAAAAAAGAAGACTGAAAAGTAGAAAGTTATCTCACTAAGTCATGAGGCTTATGATAGCAGGAAAGAAAATCATGAGATTCAAATCACTAGGAGGAACTCGACCCATTATTCCTGGCTTTAAAGGGTACCATAAGTCAAGGAATGTGAGTGGCCTCTGGAACTTAGAAGGACTCTTGGGCAACAGCCAGCAAGAAAGCAGGGATCACTGTTCCACAGCCACATGGGGCTGAATTCTGCCAGCAGCTTGAATGAACCCAGAAGTAGATTCTTCCTCAGAGCCTCTGAAAGTGAAGGCAGCACTGCCAATACCTTAACAACCTCTTGAAACTCTAAGCAGAGAGCTAGCTGAGTCACACTTGGCCTGGACTTTTGACCCACAAAGTGGTGAAATAATAAGTGGATGTTATTTAAGCTGCTAAATGTCTGATAATTTATATGGCAGCAAGGGAAAACTAAAACAGTACCTACTTACAGAATAAAGTGCTATTGAAACTCACAGACCAAAAATTTTCATTTAGTTATCAAGTGATTAGCAGCAGTAGAATATCAGTTCAATTTTGTTGGAAAACCCAGGGAACTGCCTTGCCTTCACTTATTTGAGACCTGCGTCATGGGAACTTAGGGAGTGCTTTAGTTTCTTTCCAATACTTTAAATGTGGATTTTTATCAAATAAATCATTAGTGATCAGTCACTTCAGTCACGACTATCAAACCATCCTTGTTTTGGTCAACTTCTGATGGATCTGAATCAGTGATTTAGAAGATAAGTTTATTCTGAAACTATTTTGAAAGAGAATTGTTAATTTCTTCATCTTGAATTATACATTGAGGTCAGGGACTGTATATTGCTCACGTTTGTATCCTCTGCAATGCCTAGCTTAATAATATGCTCAATAGTTTTAAGAATTAAATTGACTTAAATTATGAAAGCGAGGGAGAAAATAGAATATAGGTGTGTGTGTACCTATCTAAACAATTTTACCCACAGTATGTGGTCATTTATAACCAAGCTCTGTAATAATTGAATTGGCTGCATAGTTCTTTTTTTTTTTTTTTAAACCAGTTACTCACTATAATGTAGAAAAGTAAGCCTGTGTGTCCAAAACTGGAAGGAATAGAAAATATACCGAATGATAGAATATGAATTTGAAAAGATTTTGCTACTTAAAGGATTTTATGGTTTGATTCCTAACCCCACCCCCTCCATAAACCCCAAAAGGTATATATTCTACAGTTAGGTAGAAGGAAAGGGGAAGGAAGGGAAGGAGAAAAGGAAGAAAGGATGGAGATAGAGAGGAAGGAAGATTCACAGCTAAAAAAGAAAAGAAAGGAAAATACACACACGTACATACACTTTTTAAAAAGTAAAACATTATTTTTGTAACCCAGAAGAATGCCTCCAAAGTACAAAATACAAAATTTAATAACATGAGTATCATGTTAGACCATATCTTTTTTTATTTTTTATTTTTTTATTTTAGAAGCAGAGTCTTGCTCTGTCACTCAGGCTGGAGAATAGTGGTGCGATCCCAGCTCACTGCAGCCTCAAACTCCTGGGCTCAAGTGATCCTCCTGCCTCGGCCTCCTGAGTAGCTGAGACTACAGGCATACCTCACTATGTCTGGCCATTTTAATTTTTTTTTTAGAGACAGTTTGGCTCTGTCCCCACCCAAATCCCATCATAATTATAGTTCCCATAATCCCCATGTGTCATGGGAGGGATCCGGTGGGAGATAACTGAATCATGGGGGCAGTTACCTCATCCTGTTCCTGTGATAGTGAGTTCTCACAAAATCTGATGGTTTTATAAGGGGTTTTCTTCCCCTTTGCTCTGTACTTCTCCTTGCTGCTGCCACGTGAAGAAAAGAGGTGTTTGCTTCCCCTTCTGCTGTAATTGTAAGTGTCCTGAGGCCTCCTTAGCGATGCCGAACTGTGAGTCAATTACACCTCTTTCCTTTATAAATTACCCGTTCTCAGGTATGCCTTTATTAGCAGTGTGAGAACAAATTAATACAGACAGGGTCTTGCTATGTTTCTCATGTTGGTCTCAAACTCCTGGTTTCAAGCAGTCCTCCTGCCTCAGCCTGTCAAACTCCCAGGATTACAGGCATGAGCCACTGAGCCCGGTCTGTATCTTTCTTGATGATAGTTTATAATACAAATGTTTAGACAATGTACTGTTGTCCCCCATATCAAAAGAAGGCATCATTATGATGTCACTGCAGGAAAACATAGAATGAACCCTAGTGCCCATCTGAAGGGAGACAGTCATCATACTACACTCTCCTTTGTCCTTTGATCATGTAGTGTACCATATCTGCTTTAGGCATACCAGTCTATCTTCAGAGACCAGGAAGATATAACAGTGTGGCAGTTTAAATAACCCTCATAGCAGGCTTGTAAAAAGTTTTGTCTTCATTCCCATTACAGTTGGAGAATTCATGTAAAGTTTAGTTAGCTAGTTATATGTCAGTACTGGGATTCAGACCCTAATCTAACTACAAATCTGATCCAAATAGAACTGGTGTTCCATTCTGCTTGCCAGGCATATCATAGAAGAATGTTGAGGAAACATGGGGTGTTTAGTATAGAGAAGTGAAGACTTATAAGGAAGGTGTTTTCAAATATATGAAAAGCTGCAATATAGACAGAGGGCAGAGAAAACCTGTTGTGTCACTTCCCTTTTTAAAACCCTTTAATAGTTTTCAGTTGTCAAGGAAATAAGGTATAAACTTCTTGGCAAAGCTTAGAGACAACTTTATGATATGGTACCCACCTCCTCTTCAGTATCCATTTTACTCTCCCACTCTAGCCAATAGACTGCTTGCAGCCCTTTAAAGATGCAGCCCTCTTTGATGTGCCTAACATATCTTTCACATTCTATGCCTGGCCAACTCCTGACCGTCATCCATGTCTCAAACACCTCTTCTCTAACCCCCCATCATGTTTTAGGATTCTTGCTATACATGCCCACAGTACATTCTATTTTCCTTTTAGTAGCACTCATTATTTTAATTGCTTGTTTAATATCTATCTTTCTAAACGAGCTCCAGAAAGTTAGGGCCCATATTTCTCTTCTCCAGTTTTGTAATTTAGCACCCAACATAAGACTTGATATGCTGCAGGTATGCTCGAAAAATATTTTAAAAACTGAAGTTGATTAGTAACTCCAAGAGAATTTGAAAATAGAGAAAGAGGGAGGGATGGACCAAAGGTAGGATGGCAGGTTAATTTTAGTGGTGAAGCATTTGGGGAAAAGATGAACTTTGGTAGTATGTTTCACTGTGGACCTCTGGAAAACCAAAGTGCACCACAATGACAGTTCACCCAGAGAAAGAGAATCTGTGATTATAATTAGCGTCTTGCAGAGGTCAGAGGTCTCTGATGGTAGTTGCACACTCCTGCTGGTGGGTCATCCTGGATCCTGTGCAAACAAAGGATTATTGACACACATGGTGTTCGGTGCTTATGAAATTTGTTAGGGGGAAATCTGTTAGTTTCTATTTTACAGCATTATCCATATCTCATCCCAATTTTGTACTTACAGAGGAAATGAAGGAACCAGATGATCAGGATACTGATGGGGAGAAATCAGTTACATCAAAGAGTAATGGGAAGAAGTCTTTGAGGTCTTCTAAATCGGAATCAAGATGTAAGTAAAGATAATATGTATACTTTTAAAAGTATTAAATTTAGGTAAACATTTAAATAATCAATTTTTATAGTAGAATAGAAAGAGCAGGATGTTATAAAATAGATCTCTTTTTTTTTTTTGAGACGGAGTTTCATTGTTGTTGCCCAGGCTGGAGAGCAATGGAACGATCTTGGCTTACTGTAACCTCCGCCTCCTGGGTTCAAGTGATTCTCCTGCCTCAGCCTCCTGAGTAGCTAGGATTATAGGCGCCTGCCACCACACCCGGCTAATTTTTATATTTTTAGTAGTGGTGGGGTTTCATCATATTGGTCAGGCTGGTCTCAAACTCCTGACCTCAGGTGATCCCCTCCCAAAGTGTTGGGATTACAGGCGTAAGCTACCGTGCTAGGCCAAAACAGATCTCTTATACTCCCTGTTCCCAGAGAGCTGTAGGAAGGTGGGATCCGTAAAAATCATGGAGTTAGCAAAGAAAAAAGACTACTTATGGTACAGGAAATAGGAGATTCAAAATAGAAATAAGGCAAAGGTAATACCTAGGATGACACCTGGGCAGCCATGCAGAGAACAATTATACTGAAGCAAGGAAAGGAGAATTTTCACCTCCCAGAAAGTTAAAAATGTTAAATAATAGATTATCTGATAGATGCATGTAGAAAATTGAATTGAGTGGAATTTATAGAACTATGGCAAGATATGGGAAGATTTATCAGGAGATTCCAGAAAGTTAAAAAGTGAAAAAAAGTGAGGTATTAGCTTTAGAAAAGTGAGTTGTTCAAGAAGGGAATAAAATAATACATTCTTAACTCGGGAATGAGTGTTATTAAGGCAGTATAGTAAAAACAGTAAGCATAGACTTCACTATGTTTTGTTGCACTTTAATTATATTGCAAGGGCGAAGAGATAGCAAGTGGTGGTAGAGATTTAACATTCTTCATCTTCCCATAATAAACACTGTCTAAAAGTGGCTAGAGAGAGCAGTATATCCATATTATTTAGATATATGGAGGTAAATATCAGAAGAAAAAAGATTAAAAGCTAAAAGTGGGCCGGGCGTGGTGGTGGGCGCCTATAGTCCCAGCTACTCTGGAGGCTGAGACAGGAGAATGGCGTGAACCCAGGAGGCAGAGCTTGCAGTGCGCCGAGATCGTGCCCCTGCACTCCAGCCTGGCGACACAGCAAGACTCTGTCTCAAAAAAAAAAAAGCTAAAAGCGATTCTTCTGGAGAGAGAAGGCTGTTAAGCAAAGAAAAGTCGAGTATTTTAAAAGACAAGTCTTTTAGCATTACTTGACTTTTTAAGTTATGGGCATATATTTTAACAAAAATAAAAATAATTTTCTAAAAGTCAAAAAAATGGGCAAAATATAAATAGTGCATATCTGGGTTTATAGAACAGAAATGGTTTATTTGTTCAACTCCTTTACAAAAGCTCAAAGTTCCTTAAAAGCAGTCTGTGTTTTACCTGTTTATCACAGCTCCTGGCACACAGGTTGATAATAACCTATACACACGTCTCGTCTAGAGTTCTCCTGTGAGAGCTACTAAGTCTTATATGGACTTTTCTGATACAATGTAGCGGAAAGAGACCTGGACTTTGGTTTTGAGTCCTGTATCTACCATTTAGAGATGCTTGACCTTGGAAAAATTACCACATCTTTTTGAGCTTCAGTTTTCTCACCCATTAAAACAATTATGTGTCACTTGGGAATTAAATTGGATAACATGTGGAAGGACTTCATAGACTGCAATGGAAGAAAAAAGGAGAAATTTTATAAGTAGGATTTTTTGAAAGATGGCTGGCTCTTTCTGACTCTCACACTGTTAGGTATCTTAGTGCAATCTTGACTTTTTAAGGTTCTAATTCTAAATATGATTTTAGAAATTTAATTTTGACTATTCACCTAGATAAGATCAGGTCCTGGGAAAATCAATACACATGCAAAATCTGCATTAAATTCTTTTAATCTATCGCAGACATGTCTTGTAAATCCAGTTTCTCCACAATATATTTTATTTTAGTCATTTATCTTCTCTGGTTTGGACTCTTGCAACATGGATTTCTACCTCAGTCTTCCTGTCCAGATCTCCCTCCACACCACCACTAGAGTTCTTTCCAAAAAGTATGATTATATCACTTACCTCAGAAACTTTAGTTTGTTCCCCCCTTGTTTTTCCTTTTTCTCTACTCCCCACATTTCTGACACAGGATTGTCTGTTGGTTTCCAGTCCTTGGCAGTGTTTTCCTGGATGCTACTCTCAACTTTCCCGTGATGAATTTAATAATAATGACCCTTTGTCTAGCACTGCCTTCAGGACCTCCCTTCCTTATGTCAGACTCTCTTAGGGGCAGAGCTTTTCAAGTGTGACCTGGCCCAGTGCTCAGCTCATTAATTAGTTCACATATCGTAGGTCTTAGAATCCCAAATGATAATGTGAAATAATTTTCTGGCATTCTGAACATCCTGTACCTTGTTGCTGCGTGAAGAGGTCTCTCTCTCCTGGTTCAGCCTCATACCGTGTCCATAATTGGTGGGTTCTTGGTCTGGCTGACTTGAAGAATGAAGCCGTGGACCCTTGCGGTGAGTGTTACAGTTCTTAAAGATGGTGTGTCAGGAGTTTGTTCCTTCAGATGTTCAGATGTGTCCAGAGTTTCTTCTTTCTGGTGGGTTCGTGGTCTCGCTGACTTCAGGAGTGAAGCTGCAGACCTTTGTGGTGAGTGTTACAGCCCTTAAAGGCAGCGCATATGGAGTTGTTCATTCCTCCTGGTGGGTTCGTGGTCTTGCTGGCTTCAGGAGTGAAGCTGCAGAACTTCGCGGTGATTGTCACAGCTCACAAAGGTGATTGTCACAGCTCATAAAGGCAGCGCCGACACAAAGAGTGAGCAGCAGCAAGATTTATTGCAAAGAGCGAAAGAACACAGCTTCCACAGCCTGGAAGGGGACCCCAGGGGCTTGCCACTGCTGGCTGGACAGCCTGCTTTTATTCCCTTATCTGACCCCCACCCACATCCTGATGATTGGTCCATTTTACAGAGAGCTGATTGGTCCGTTTTGACAGGTTGCTGATTGGTGTGTGCTCACTGGTGCATTTACAATCTTTTAGCTAGACACAAAAGTTCTCCAAGTTGCCACTAGATTAGGAGACACAGGGCACTGATTGGTGCGTTTGCATACCTTTAGCTAGACACAGAGTGCCGATTGGTGCATTTACAATTTTCTAGCTAGACTCAGTGCTGATTGGTGCATTTATAATCCTCTAGGTAGACATAAAATTTCTCCAAGTCCCCACCAGACTCAGGAGCCCAGCTGACTTCGCCTAGTGGATCCCGCCCCTGGCGGAGGCGGAGCTGCCCGCCAATCCCACGCTGCGCCTGCACTACTCAGCCCTTGGGCAGTCTATGGGACCAGGCGCTGCAGAGCAGGGGGCAGCGCCCCCAGGGGAGGTTCAGGCCCTGTGGGAGACCTCTGTGGGAGGGGCTCGGGCATGGTGGGCTGCCGGTCCTGAGCCCTGCCCCGCCCCGCCAGGAGGTGGCTGAGGCCCAGCGAGAATTTGAGGGAGCCTGGCATGTGCGGGCCGGCAGTGCCGAGGGACCCGGCGCACCCTTTGCAGCTGCTGGCCCAGGTGCTAAGCCCCTCACTGCCTGGGGCTGGGGGCGCCAGCCGGCCCCGCTGAGTGCAGGGCCCACCAAGCCAATGTCCACCTGGAACTCGCGCTGGCCCACGAGTGCAGCGCAAGCAGCCCCGGTTCCTGCCCGCACCTCCCCCTCCACACTTCCCTGCAAGCAGAGGGAGCCGGCTTCTGCCTCGGCCAGCCCAGAGAGGGGCTCTCACAGTGCAGCGGTGGGCTGAAGGGCTCCTCAAGCGAGGCCAGAGTGGACTCTGAGGCCGAGGAGGCTCCACGAGCCAGCGAGGGCTGCTGGCACATTGTCACCTCTCAATAGCTGATGGCTGCATTCCCCACACCTGTGGATACCTTGCTTTGCTCTCAGGCTTGCTAAAACATCAGGGCAAGTTTTTGCTCTTTGGGACTCTCAAGAGAATGAATAAAGTCCTTGTATCACATCCAAGCAGAGAAGTTGGATAGACTTTTTTCCATACTTAACAAGAAGTTTCTGCTATCTCTGAGTTCTAGTAAGAAATTTAGGCTGAGTGTACCAGCTAAACCATCCATCATTTCTCACAATGGTGAAGGATTGTTAGTTACTAAGGCATTGATTTCTGATTCTTATCAAAGGATTAAATTATTGCAGAGCTTATTTAATAGTTTTGGGAAGTGTTTTGTTCTTTTCTATTTTCAGAAATATATTGTGTAGAATTGGTATTATTTCTTCCTTAAATGCTTGGTAGAATTTACCAGTAAAACTGTCTGGACCTGGAATTTTCTTGATGAGTGGGTAAATTTAAGCCATTAATTCAATTTTTTAAAATAGAGGGCCCTCTATTTCTTCTTTACTAAGTTTTACAAGTTTGTATCTTTCATGGAATTTGGTCACTTCTCTTCTAAATGTCAAATTTGTTGACATAACTTTGTAGGATCTGTTTTCATTCTTGATGTTGGAGATTTATGTTGTTTCCCTTTTATTTCTTCATTGGGCTAGCTAGGAACTTATCAATATTGTTGATCTTTTCAAAGACTAAGATTTTGGCTTTGCTCATTTACTTTGGTTTTTTTTTTTCTTCATTTATTTTTCTAACTTTTTATTTATTTATTTATTATTATTATTATTATTATTATACTTTAAGTTCTAGGGTACATGTGCATAACGTGCAGGTTTGTTACATATGTATACTTGTGCCATGTTGGTGTGCTGCACCCGTCAACTCGTCAGCACCATTTTTCTAACTTCTTGAGGTGGAAATTTAGGTCATTGATTTTTTTTTTTTTTGACTTTTGTTCTTTTCTTACATATGTATTGAAAGCTGTAAATTTCCCTCCAAGGACTGCTTTAGCTATATCTCAATTTTAATATATTGTATTTTAATAATAATTTAATTTGAAAAATTTTGTGATTTCTTTGTTGATTTCCCCTTGACCCATGAATTATTTTTATTGTGTAATTTAATTTCCAAATATGGAACTTTTTTTCAAGGTATCTTATCATTATTGGTTTCTAACTTACATCTGTTTTTTTCAGAGAACATGTCTATTCTATATAATCGCAATCCATTTAAATGTATTAAAAGTGGTCTTATGTCTCAGCAAGTGATCTGTCTTGGTAAATGACCCATGTGTACTTGAACGTGCATCCTGTATTGGTAGGTGTAAGTGTTTTATAAATGTCAGGTCAGGATGGTTGATAGCGATGTTCAGATCATCTATGTCTTTACTAAGTTTTTGACTAGTTCTATCAATTGCTGAAAGATACGTATTACTAAAATAAATAGTAACTCTAAGTAGACTGTGAAAAATTGTTGTGTATAATCTCTGAAGCAACCACTAATAAAACACAGAACTGCTAAAAAGTCAACAGAAATTTAAATAGAATTCTAAAGAGTAAATGATCTAAAAGAAAACATGGAAAGAGAAAAAGAGGGAAAAATGACAGGTAGGAGGAGAAAAACAGAAAATAAATTATCAAATATTATTTGTTAATTTCACAAGCATATGTTATTAAAATCTAACCATATCGATAATTACATTATTAGCTGAACATCAATATAAAAAGGCAGAGATTATCAGCATGGCTAATAAAAACAAGAACCAACTATATGATGCTCATAGAAGACACATGTTAGGTATAATGATACAAATAGGTTGCAAGTAAATGGATGGAAACAGATATATCATGCAAAAAGTAAGCATAATCTGGGTGGAGGGACTATATGAATACCAGATAAAATAGACTTCTAGGCAAAGAGTACTACCAGTGACATAGGGTAAAAGGATCAATTTATTCATAAAGATAAAAGGATCAGTTAAGAAAACATAATAATCATAAATATGTATTCACCTAGTAACAACATCACAATACACAAAGCAAAAATAGACAGAATCAAGGAAAAACTAAGTAATTCCACAATCATAGTAAGAGAGCAGCTTGGTACTAGTTACCTCATAATAGCCAAAGTATACATGCCCACTATCAATATTTGTATATTGTTGTTGTATGCAATAACCATGCTGAACTCTTTTAAAAATTATAATAAATTATAATTTAGTTCTTATTAATTTTTTTATAAAGTAGCCTTACGGATTTTTCTGTATGTGCAACCATAGCATTTGTAGGCTTTCTTACAGTGTTCTCAATCTCATGGAAAAGGTAGAGGTAAATAAGGAATCACAGAGGCAAACTGTTTGTGGGAAGCAGTATCTCTGTGATAGCTGCAGAGGAGAGGCCCCAAAGCTTGCTACGTACATTGGCTGGAGGAAGCAAACAAACAAAAAAATGAAGAAACTCACGTATAAAATTGTGGGTCATACAGCAAAAATCCCAGCAGATTCTTTTTGATATCTACAGTTATGGCATTCCTTTCTCCTTGGTCACTTTCCTTTGCTTCCTCCGGCACCTATCCTTGTTCAGTCTCCACTAATTTTGCCAGCCGTTTTGCCAGCAGCCCTGCCATCCATTCGTGATTTTGAGTTTTAACTGCTTCTAGTTCTACAAAAAAAATGGAGTTTGTGTTTTTGGCATTTATTCTCAATGTTGATTTTAGATTATTTCCAAGAATAGAAAGGCAAATACTGATCTATTCTTCAAACCATAAGTCTTCCACCCATCTATTTCAGGATTATAAAAATTATGGAAATATCCAGCCCTCACAAAGTTGCCTAAGTGTGCTGATTCATCAGCTTGGTTTAATGTGCCTACTTCCTGCCCAATTAGTTTTTTTTCCCCAAACTCTAGTTTTCCCTCAGAGGCACAATCCTTCTCCAGTCTCAGAATACCCATTATTTTTTGTTACCTCTTCTCCTTCATCTGTATTCACTCTCAATTCGTTAATCAGTGATCACCTTATCTACCAGTTCTAACTCCTTTCCCGGGGAACCCAGCAGTTAGGAGTGTTATGCTTGTAGTGCTGTAATCTTGAAATGAGGAAATAGTCTTTGGTTGCTACAGTCACAAGAAAGAGCTAAAGTATTATTAGAGAATAGTTCTCCAGGGCCTCCACTTGGGGAATCTGTTTGGCTGATTTAAGCACCCAGTATTACTTTCTTGTCATCCAAATACATGAATCCTAAGGAACTCTGTCCTGTTCTGCAACTAATTGTGTTGGCTCAGCTTTTTGATCTTATTCATATTAGTGTTGGGCTTTGTTCCTAATCTTTAGCCTCATCTCAGATCTACTACGTAGCTCTGGTACTTAGTAGTACATTTGCCTTTTCTTCCTTATTCTTCTGAAAATTCACCTAGCCCTATATGAAAGTATACCCATCCTACTTGGCATTGTATATTTTAACCATCCCCATGTTTGGACTTGATCTGAATGTTGGCTTATACCTGGGGCCATTTTACTCCTATCCCAGTTCTCATTCCCAGCTTGTCCTAAAGCCAATATTCCAACTTATTCCTGCGATATCACTTCCAAGAGAAATCATCATACTCAGAGAAAGACAATAAGCCTTATTTGTCTTTAACGTAACAGGTTCCCTATAAAAGTTGGTAAAATTGAATTTAGTTGAAATTATGATAGCAGCATACTAACCTCTTTTTTTCTTTATCTTTTTATTGTAAGTATTTAGTGATAGGAAATAGACTGGAAATGAAGTGAAAATGGAGATTAAAAAACAGAAAAGCCTTTTTTATTTTGTAAAGTTACAAGACTGACCAAATAAAATGATTCTTCTAGAAATTTTTGAGTATGTATTAGAATTTATTACATCTATAGCACAAGCAAATTGGAAGTTTTAGCTGCTTTAGATGTAAGAAAATGTTTAATCAAAATTTAGAAGTTATTAAAACAAATTTTAATAGCTCCTGTTCAAGAAGATGACACATTTTTAGAAGATGCCACAGATGAAACATTTACTGAAGGGGAAGAATCATATTTAGAAGAAGACTCAGATGAGGAACGTTTGGAAGGAAGTTTGAGTTCATTTCAGTATGATGATTTGCAAAGCACTAGAGGTAGGTATTATTAGTTTTCTGTCAGTAATTGTCACTATTTTAAAGACAAAGCACAGACTAATGGAACAGTTATAAATCCATAGAAAGAAAAATCTGCAGGATGTGTTTATGTGTGGGAATGATAAAAGGGCAAGTATTGTACATATTTTGGTAGGGTACTTTAGCAGCCCTAGACTTGTGGTTTTTATTTCTGAGGATCACATACAGTACTCTGATACTCATTCTTCTGGGTTTTAAGAAGGTATAAAAACTGTTCCACTACAGATTAGTGGGAGTTCAACTCTCCCTTGGAAGTAATTGGGAGTTCCCCTTAGAGACTCTTGCACCATGACAGACCAGAACTCAGCATTTACTCCTGATGCACATGGGCCTGATGGCTCTTCCTTCCTTGCTCACTGATGACTGTGTCCTATCTTCAGGCCAGTAGTAGTAGGTAATGCTAGAGTATTGCAGGCTGTGTACATTCCTCCTGTCTCTGCGAAATACAATTTTGGATTTACCAGACACTCTTTGTATTAATCCGTTCTCACGCTGCTAATAAAGACATACCTGAGACTGGGTAATTTATAAAGGAAAGAGGTTTACTTGACCCACAGTTCTGCATGGCTGGGGAGGCCTCAGGAAACTTACAATTGTGGCAGAAAGGGCAGCAAACATGTCCTTCACATGATGGCAGCAAGGAGAAGTGCAGAGTGAAGGAGGGAAATGTCCCTTATAAAACCATCAGATCTTGTAAGAACTCATTCACCATCATGAGAACAGCATGGAAGTAATAGCCCCTGTGATTCAATTACCTCCTACCAGGTCTCTCCCACGACATGTGGAGATTATGGGAACTACAATTCAAGGTGAGATTTGGGTGGGGACACAGCCAAACCATATCATTCTTCTTAAATTATTTTATTTTTTTAGTATCTCAGCAAACCCCTGCCCCAGCTGTGGAAGAGGCAGAGGAGGAAGTTAAGAAGAAAATATCAGAGAGCTTCTTCTATGATTATATGGAGCTTGCTTCGATGCCTTTTGTGACTCTGGATTCAGACATACCACTGGATCTTCTCACACTCGTGTATCCACCCTGGCTAAATATGTATAATTTTGGTATTTTCATTTCTTAGGTCAGAGGTCAGCAAACTATAGCCCGGGGAGCCCAAATGTACCCTCCCACCTGTTTTAGTAAATCAAGTTTTATTGCAACACAGCCACATCCATTTGCTTGCATTTTGTTTATTATGGCTGCCATCACACAACAAAGACAGAGATAAGTAGTTGTGACAGAGACCATCTGGCTTACAAGGCCGAAACTATTTACTACCTGCCCTTTACAAAAAAAGTGTGCCAACCCATCTTAGGTAATTCTAAGAAACTTGAGTTCTTAGAGATTTGATAGAAATGCATGATCTTAATTTAAACTAAGCTTTTGTTTGATGCCAAATAACCATAAAGAGAAATGATGTTTTTCTGGCTGTCCTTTGCACAAGTGGAAAGGCTGCAGTTCATGAGACCTGAGTGAAGGAAACCAGAAGGCTTCTTATTCCCATTTACTTTTGCCAATGCCTATCAAGTTAATTAATCAATTTCCCTTTTTGAAACACTTATGCATCTGTCCGTTGTAAGGTATTAGTACTTTCACATTATATCAGATGAGCTATCAGAGAAGACAATTCTTAGGAAATAGGGCACAAAATAGCAAGTTTTAATTGGTCTGGAAAATAAGAGTCTTTGAAGATATGTAGAAGCGGGGATGATTGACAAGGGGATTTAGTGTTTGTCATCACATTATGATGTTAGGTTTGCAATGCAGGTAGTTAGAAGACAGTTTCCATTGAGGTCCTTAGCTGGCAATTTACTATGCTTGCCTTTTGGATAGTTAGTAGTTATCACCACATGGCCTAAACCACCAACTGGCCTCTTACATAAGGAATATTTACAGAGACAGAGTGGTGTACTCACTGACTCAGTTTTGCTTTTTAAATAAAACATAAAAATAGAACATGTTATTAAATCCCTGGTGTAACTAAACTAATTCACGCTGAATCATCTTGTAACCTGGAATTTTCTCTCTTCATGGCTTTTTTTTTTTCCTTATCTTTGGACAAGTTTCTGTCAAAAGTTATGCTGTTTGCTTTCTTTTAGCCTTCCTTCCCTGAATGGGGTGGGGTGGTATATTAGAGTCCCCTGGAAGGTTTTCCTAAAGTACCCAATGCTCAGATGCCTTCCTGGACCTACTGTGCTAGTTCTATGTGGAGAGGGGCTTGGGCATATGTACTCTGAAAAAACTCCGAGATGGTTTGGCAGTGCCCTGCCTTCTCACTGCTCCAGGATGGCAGGGTCTGTATTAGACAAACATGCCTAGATTCTAAACAGCAGAGTCAGAAGAACCTCAACTTTTATTCCAATATATGAATTCTCTCTATTCATGCTGGATGGGTGGCTGTATAAACTATAGCCTTTTCTTAAACATTTTCAACACCAGGAAAATCACAAAGTAGCCTACCCCACTTTTACATGGCTCACTAGAGAGCTTTTTGGGCCTTGAATAAGATTCTGCCTCACTGGGATGGCCCCCATTAGATTTAGTTCTCCTCTCTGGAGATGAACATATATAATCTCTATATCTTGTGAGGAATTCTAGGAAGAACAAGTCAGCCATCATGTATTCCCTAAGTACTCTTTTAATTAACCCTTTAAAGATTATTAATATATTATATTGATTCTACTTTAGTTTTTGCCTGTTTTGTTTTGTTTGTTTGTTTTTTTGAGATGGAGTCTCGCTCTGTCGCCCAGGCTGGAGTGCAATGGCAAGATCTCTGCTCACTGCAACCTCCGCCTCCTGGGTTCATGCAATTCTCCTGCCTCAGCCTTCTGAGTTGCTGGGACTACAGGCGTGCACCACCACACCTGGCTAATTTTTGTATTTTTAGTAGAGATTGGGTTTCACCATATTGGCCAGGCTGGTCTCGAACTCCTGACCTTGTGATCTGCCCGTCTTGGCCTCCCAAAGTGCTGGGATTACAGGCGTGAGCCACCGCGCCCAGCCCTCTACTTCAGTTTTTAAATTTGTGTCTTCTAAATTTTAGCAATGTTAAATCAGGTTTAGCCTAAAGCTGCCTCCTTATATACTTTGAGTTCAGCCTACAGGTTTCTTTGTACCTGGTGAACTATAACCTAAAGGGAGTTAGACTCTAGCCTACTCTTGAGCCAGTTACCGAGTTTTGGTCAAAGGTGGCCAACTGTTCAAATTGTGTTAAAATAAGGCAGATGCCAAGCTGTAACCAATTCGGCTATTTCTGTACCTCACTTTTGTTTTCTGTACATCACTTTCTTTTTTCAGTCCATAAATCTTCCTGCACGTGGCTGTACTGGAGTCTCTGGGCCTACTCTGACTCAGAAGGCTGTCCAATTCTTGAATTGTTCTTTGCTCAATTAAACTCTGTTAAATTTAATTTGGCTAAAGTTTTCTTTTAATAGCAAGAAATGTGCCGTTTATAAAGTATCACTTAAACCATGGTATAATTTTAAAAGAGATTATACAGAACTTAACCGTGTTTAAACAATTTTAAAGTGAAATTCCTAGATGGCCATGAACAAACGTTGAAAGCTCTGAGTCTTTGACAGGAATTTAAGAAGAGGCAAGTCAGAAGAGAAGGTGAGATAAAACAAAGGGAGCTGAAGGTACATCAAAACACATTTTAAGATTTTCAGAACTCCACTAAGGGTCTGTTGCTGTCCCCTGGGATTAAAAGGAAAGGATCAGGCCAGGCGCAGCGGCTCAGACCTGTAATCCTAGCACCCTGGGAGGCTTGGCAGGCAGATCACTTGAGCTCAGGAGTTCGAGACCAGCCTGAGCAACATGGCAAAACTCTGTCTCTACAAAAAATACAAAAATTAACCAGGTGTAGTGGTGCACACCTGTAGTCCCAGCTACTTGGGGGGCTGAGGTGGGAGAATCTCTTGAGCCTGGGAAGTTGAGGCTGCAGGGAGCCATGTTCATGCCACTGCACTCCAGCCTGAGTGACAAAGTGAGACCCTACCTCAAAAAAAAAAAAAAGAAAAAAAAAGGAAAGGATCAGATTCTAGTTATGCACAAATTAATGAATTGAATAATTCAACAAACATTTCTTGAATTGCTAATAGACTGAAGACAGTGTGCTAGGCATTCTGGGAAATAGAGATGGAGAGAAGCAGTCATTGCCCTCAGTAAGTTGTAATTTAGAGGGGGGGAATTTTAGAAGTTACAATCTGACCCATTCTGGGTTTGAAAGAGCCTTTTGTCAGGGCAGCAGCATGTAAAAGGGAGTTTTCCTGCTAAAATTAAATATAATAATATTAGATAAATGATAATTTCTCCAATTGCTAATTTTCATCTAAGATAGTGAAGAGATAGTAACCAATTTCTATTCTCATAGCTACTAACATGCTTTTAGCCTTCTGAGGTTTTATATTGCCACCAGGGAAGAGAGAAAGGACGGGAAGAAGGGGAGGTGAGAGCAGTGGTTTGAAGGAAGTTAAAAAGATGGTGGGCAAAACTTCCCTCCATGAGGCTTGAATAGCTTCATTTACATATTTGGATCACATATTCATTCATATTTCTATACAAGATTTAATTTTAGACATTTATGTCTTTATTAAATTTATAAAATTTCTTTTTCTTGAACAGATCCAGTACCCTGAAATGCTTTATCTCTCTCTTTCAATTTAACTATTTGGTAATGAGATAGGCTGCTTGTGGTTGGTTATAATTTGTTTATATTTCACAATTTAAATTGCATTAATGTAAATCTCTCTTTTTACATTCTACATTTTCTTCTTAAAACTTTAACATAATTTCTTTCTCTGAAAATTGTTATTTACTTATGAATAAGTGGAATCCTCTAAAATCAGAATTTCTTTTTAAACAAGGGCTCAAGAAATACAAATTCCTCCAATGATCCTTCAACTCTGATGTTCAGCAACAAATTCTTGTGAACAAAGAATCTATCTGCTTAAGCTACACTATAGGACATGCTTCTTTTGTCAACTCTAGTTTTTTTCATAGATTGATCTCATTTAACTTGGTTATTATATTTATATTTTGGGCATATTAATTTTGACAAACATAATAATATACATTTAAAAGATGTTTTATATAACTTAGATTATATCTCTTTTTAAAAAAAAATTTTTATTTTAGATTTAGAGGGTACACATGCAGGTTTGTTTCAAGGATATATTGTGTGATATTGAGGTTAGGGCTTCTGTTGATCTCATCACCCACGTAGTGAACATAGTACCCAATAGGAAGTTTTTCAGCCTTGCCCCTTCCCTCCCTCCCTCCCTCCCTTTGGAATTCCTAGTATCTGTTGTTCCTGTCTTTATGTCTATGTGTACCCAAGATTTAGCTCCTACTTATAAGTGAGAACATGCAATATTTGGTTTTCTGTTTCTGCATGAATTTGCTTAGGATAATGGCCTCCAGCTGCATCCATGCTGATGCAAAGGACATGACTTCATTCTTTTCATGGCTGTATAGTATTTCATGGTGTATATGCCACATTTTCTTTATCCAGTGCACCACTGATGGGTTGATTCCATGTCTTTGCTGTTATAAATAGTGCTGTGATAAACATATGAGTGCATGTGTCTTTTTGGTACAATGATTTTCCTCTGGGTATATCCCCAGAAAAGGGATTACTAGGTTGAATGGTAGTTCTATTTTTAGTTCTTTGAGAAATCTCCAGACTGCTTTCCACAGTGGCTGAACTGATTTACATTCTCATTAATAGTATATAAGCATTTGCTTTTGTCTACAGCCTCACCGACATCTCTTATTTTTTTACTTTTTAATGATAGCCATTCTGACTGGTGTGAGATGGTATCTCATTGTGGTTTTGATTTGCATCTCACTGATGATTAGTGATGTTGAGCGTTTTTCATGTTTGTTGGCCACTTGCGTGTCTTCTTTTGAAAAATGTCTATTGAAGTCCTCTGCCTGCTTTTTGGTGGGGTTATTTTCTTGTTGATTACTTTAAATTTCTTATAGATTTTGAATATAAGCCCTTTGTCAGATGCATAGTTTGGGAATATTTTCTCCCATTCTGTAGGTTATCTGTTTAATCTGTTGATGATTTATTTTGCAGTGCAGAAACTCTTTAGTTGAGTTAGGTACCACTCTATTTTGAATTAGTACAATTTTACTCTATAGCATACACACACACACACACATATACATACACACTACTTACCTATACACCAATACATATACTAATAAGCTCAGAAAAGAAATATTAGTCTATTAATTACATATATATTTATTTGCTATATATTAATTTTCATAATTTGTTGATTTGAATTAAATTTTAGTTATATTTATGTGAATTTATTATAATCATGTTATCAAATGGTGTGTTAAAATTTTACAAACATGTTAGTATTTTAAGCATCTTGTCTTTCAACATCAAGGTAAAAGCCTATATAATATTTTTACTATGGTTAGTCAACAAACTTAACAGGCATTGTGAATACAAAGGTGATCAAGATATAGACTTTCTCCCATGTTATACAGTATGATTTAGTTTTAGTGGGAGAGAGGAAAATATAATTATGTAGGTGACAATTTTGCTGTCTGTGGTACCCAAGTAAGTTTAACCTTATTTATTTTTGCAAAAACAATTAATGGACTGCCAGGATTTCCCCAGGAAAATTAAAATAGTAACTAAATCAGAGTATGGGGTAGTCACCTGATTTATTTATTTATTTGTTTATTTTTTTCCTGCTTTTTGTTTCTCACGTAATTAAAAAAAATGTTAGTAATACATAGAAAAATCATGAGTTTCAGGGTAAAATTCAACTACTTCAACCTCATATCTTCATCTAAGAGTATAGATTTAAAAATGTATTTATTTCATCACTTTTCCAGTCCCTAGGATGGTATTGTTTTTCACTTCTTTTCCTTAGCAACTTTTCCTCAGACATTCTTTTGGTTATGACTGTAGAAAGCGAGCTAACCTACAACTTCTGGACAACAGTATCGCAATATACATAGCTGGGAACCAACTGATCTTTCTGAATTTGAAAACCAAGGAACAGATCTACCTGCGAAGTAGCAGTGGTGAAGGAATTGGCGTCATTGGGGTATGCCTTCAATAAATTAGAAAAAAAACCCAAAAACCCTATCTTTTTGCTTGTTCTGTGAACCAGCCAACATGGTTGTTAGATGCCATCACCATGCACACACAGTATTGTGGGATCACATGAGAGGCACAACTGTCTTTATTCCAAAGCATTTTCAATTCAGTTATTACAGACACTCATTCACTATCATTACCTCTGTGCACTATTATAATATTATTATTTCTTTTTGCAGATAAGGAAATGGGCTTATAGAGGTTAGGTGACTTCCCCATAGTCGTGCAGGTTTTTCATATTTAGATTAGAAGTGGAGGTGAGCAAGGAGATTTTAAAGAATCTTAATCTGAAGACTGAAGCAGGCACATGGCCATGGGAATGGAGAAGGTGAGGAAAATGTGAGACATAGACAGGACATAGACATAGACTGACTATGAAAACAGGATATATTGAGATGTATGGAGTGAAAGATACTATCATGGTTGTTTCTTTCTTGATCATCTATCTATATATAGTATGTATACATGATAAAAGTCCATGTCCTCGGAGAGTTTGTTATAAGACTAATTAATAAGTTCAGCAATAATTTATTATGTAATACTGTGCACCCAACACTACACAGAACATATAGTAGGGAATTTAAATGAAGAAGAACTCATGACCTCTATGAATTCAGAGTTTAAAATCCATCTAAAGAGACAAGACCTATATTTGTAAAAAGAGAAACAAAAACTAGACACACAAGTGCATGATAATGTGGCAATAGCTGTGTGCAGATAGCCATGGGCCCAACATGAGGGTCGTGGATTTTGTGGAGGGAAGTCAATTGGGGCCTATGAGGTTTCAGGACCCTGAGGTCCACACCATCTGCAGGGGACCAAGAAACATCTAATTATCACTTATTTATCTATTACTCTGTGGCCAGTAATAGCTTTAAAATTTCCATTTTAATATTTTGTTATAAAATAATTTGGTTTGAGGACAGTAGTCAGAGGTATAGTGTGGTCAAGAATGCTAATCCTGGCCAAGCACAGTGGCTCACGCCTGTAATCCCAGCGCTTTGGGAGGAGGAGGCGGGCAGATCACGAGGTCAGGAGATCAAGACCAGCCCGGCCAATGTGTTGAAACCCTGTCTCTACTAAAGATACAAGAAATTAACCAGGCACGGTGGTGCAGGCCTGTAATCCCAGCTACTCAGGAGACTGAGGTAGGAGAACCACTTGAACCTGGGAGGTGGAGGTTGCAGTGAGCTGAGATTGTGCCATTGCACTTCAGCCTGGGTGACAGGGCAAGACTCTGTCTCAAAAAAAAAAAAAAAAAAAAAAAAGCTAATCCTAATCCTCATCCACCTGGATGTTGAGCAATTTTATGTCCACAAGGCCTTTTCTCTGTGTGTGCTGGAGCTGTTGAAGCCTGGGTAGTGACAGAGGCCTTGCCTCCACTGTCCATGTTACCTCATCTTTTCTGAAACAGTTATCCAGTTATGGTTGAGAAATACTTTAGCAAGGCTATGAGAAAAGTGTTTGGGCACCCTACCTGGAAAAGCTAGGGTGAATCTCTGTGTTGAGTGTAAAGTAAATGATTTACTAATTCCAGTTCTTCGCCAAAAATAAAACTGCGGGCTTGGTGCAGGGGCTCCTGCCTGTAATCACAGCACTTTGGGAGGCAGAGGTGGGTGGATCACTTGAGGCCAGGAGTTCAAGACAAGCCTGGCCAACATGGTGAAACCCCATATCTACTAAAAATACAAAAATTAGCCAGGTGTGGTGGCACACACCTATAATCCCAGCTACTTGGGAGGCTGAGGCATGAGAATTGCTTAAGCCTGGGAGGCTGAGATTGCAGACAGCAGAGATCGTGCCACTGCACTCCAGCCTGGATGACAGAGTGAGACTGTGTCTCAATAAATAAATAAATAAATAAATAAATAAATAAATAAAACTACCAAACCCAACCCCACAGCAATTTCCAATATGAGAGGCAGAAACTTTTTAACTTACTGTATACAAGACCTAGAAGGGTAAAGGATTTGCCTGAATCTTCATCCTGATTTCTTTGATCACATGTTCTACACCATATTTCTTTACAAATGGGAATCTAGATAGATATGGTCTTACTCCATTTCCCCTACCTCCTTGAGATCTGCTATTTCTTAGTCCCATTTGTTTCTTGATTCTAACATTTGGCTTGAATCCTATCTCTTACACTTAACACATTGTAGACTGTGTGACTGCAGGCAAGTTACTTAAACTCTGTGTCTCAGTTTACTCATCAATAAGATGGAGATAATAGTGGTATCCAAGCTCACAAGGTTGGTGTAAAATTTAAAGGAAACAATGTTATCTTGGGTACCATGATTAGCAATCTATATCTGAGAACCAGGCTCTTTGTCTTATATATAATCAGGAGATGTGAAATAATATCTGAAAACAGAATTTTATAAGCATCATATGTGTTTTAAATAGCTTATCCTTATAACAGCTTATTTTTATTTTCATTTTTTGACTGGTGATTTACCCTTCCTATACATTTGGCTTACCAATAGACAAAAATAACAGAAATGAACATACTATTTTATCCAACTTATATGGTTATCTTTGAAAATACTGACACAAATAGTTTATCCAGGGCACAATTACTGTAATTTCCTCTGTGTCTGGCTTGGAAATATTACATCTCACTTCTAGTAAGTTTCATTCGTTTGTAAGTTTTTTCCACAGTGAAATTTAAAAAATTGTGATGTAACCTGGTCTGGAAACAAGAATCCCATACAATCCATGAGCTTTTCTATACAAAATTTAGGTTGATTTATATGTAGGGTAGACAATTCATCTCACTTAGTTGTTCTCAAAGCAAGGTCTCCAAACTAGCTGCATCAACATCATCTTGTTAGAAATGTAAATCACCTTGTTAGAATGTAAATCACCTAGTTAGAAATTACCTTGTTAGACATGTAAATGCAAATTCTTGAGTCCCAGCCTGACCTATTAAGTCAGAAACTCTGGGGATTAGGGCTTGCAATCTGTGTTTTAATAAGCCCTTCAATGGATTCTGATGCACATTAAAGATTGAGAACCATTGTTCTAGCTCTTCCAATGGCAATTAAAAAAAATTGCAGAGTTAGAAATGACTGTCTTAAAGTAAAACTTAAAATGTGTATTCTAGTTTTCAGTTTCAGTTGTATCCATCATCAGATATTTATTTGATGCCCATTTTTGAGTTTTCTATTAGAGTAAAGCCTAATAACAAATTATAAAATAGTGGATGCTAAATACTGCATATATCAGCCTATTTATACAAAAATCTTTCTTTTAATATTTTGGTGAAATTTTATCTTTTTTAGGTTCATCCACATAAAACTTACTTCATAGTAGCTGAAAAAGGGAGTTTTCCAGATATTATCATTTATGAATATCCTTCTCTGAGACCATACAGAATCCTTCGAGGTGAGTCCAGAAGCACATTTAAATATTTCATGTACAAGGATAATAACATTCTGAAGAAGAAGGTTATTTTATAAGTCAAGGTTCTCCAGAGAAACAGAACCAGTGGAAGACAGAAAAGAGATTTATTCAAATTCACACACAACAATACTAACCTTAAATGTAAATGGGCTAAATGCCCCAATTAAAAGACACAGACTGGCAAACTGGATACAGAGTCAAGATCCATTGGTGTGCTGTAATTCAGGAGACCCATCTTACCTTCAAAGACACACACAGGCTCAAAACAAAGAAATGGAGGAAATTTTGCCAAGTAAATGGGAAGGAAAAAAAAAAAGCAGGGGTTGCAATCTTAGTCTCTGACAAAACAGATTTTAAACTAACACAAATCAGAAAAGGCAAAGAAGGGCATTACATAATGGTAACAGGAACAATTCAAGAAGAGCTAACTATTGTGAATATATATGCACCCAATACAGGAGCACCCAGATTCATAAAACAAGTTCCTAGAGACCTACAAAGAGACTTAGACTCCCACACAATAATAGTGGGAGAATTTAACACCCCACTGTCAGTATTAGAGCAACAAGACAGAAAATTAACAAGGATATTCAGGACTTGAACTCAGCTCTGGATCAAGTGGACCTAGTAGACGTCTACAGAGCTCTCTACTCCAAATCTACAGAATATACCTTCTTCTCAGTGCTACATGACACTTATTCTAAAATCAACCACATAATTGGAAGTAAAACACTCCTCAGCAAATACATAAGAATTGAAATCATAGCAAACAGTCTCTCAGATCACAGTGCAATCAAATTAGAACTCAGGATTAAGAAACTCACTAAAAACCACACAATTTCATAGAAATTGAACAACCTGCTCCTGAATGACTCCTGTGTAAATAATGAAATTAAGGCAGAAATCAAGAAGTTCTTCGAAACCAATGAGAGCAAAGAGATGATGTACCAGAATCTCTAGGACACAGCTAAAGCAGTGTTAAGAGGGAAATTTATAGCACTAAATGCCCACATCAAAAAACCAGAAAGATCTCAAATTGACACCCTAACATCACAATTAAAAGAGCTAGAGAGGCAAGAGCAAACTAATCCAAAAGCTAGAAGAAGACAATAAATAACTAAGATCAGAGAAGAACAAAAGGAAATAGAGACAGAAAAACCCTCCAAAAAAATGAATGAATCCAGGAGCTGGTTTTTTGAAAAAAATAACAACATAGGTAAACCACTAGCAAGACTAGTAAGGAAGAAGGGAGAGAAGAATCAAGTAGACACAATAAAAAAAAATAAAGTGGATATCACCACTGACCCCACAGAAATACAGAATACCATCAGAGAATACTATAGACACCTCTATGCAAATAAACTAGAAAATCTAGAAGAAATGGATAAATTCCTGAAAGCATACACCCTACCAAGACTAAACCAGAAAGAAGTTGAATCCCTGAATAGACCAATAACACACTCTGAAATTGAGGCAGTAATTAATAGCCTACCAACCAAAAAAAGCCCAGGACCAGATGGATTCACAGCTGAATTCTACTAGAAATACAAAGAGGAGCTGCTACCATTCTTTCTGAAACTATTCCAGACATTTGAAAAGGAGGGACTCTTTCCTAACTCATTTTACAAAGTCAGCATCATCCTGATACCAAAACCAGGAAGAGACACAACAAAAAAAAAGAAAACCTCAGGCCAATATCCCTGATGAACATCAATGCAAAAATCTTCAATAAAATACTGGCAAACTGAATTCAGCAGCACTTCAAAAAACGATCACATTGCCTTCATCCCTGGTATGCAAAGCTGCTTCAACTTACACAAATCAATAAACATAATCCATCACATAAACAGAACCAAAGTAAAAAACCACATGATTATCTCAGTAGATGCAGAAAAGGCCTTCGACAAAATTTAACATCCCTTCATGTTAAAAACTCTCAATAAACTAGGTATTGATGGAACATATCTTAAAATAATAAGTGCTATTTATTACAAACCCACAGCAAATATCATATTGAATGAGCAAAAGCTGGAAGCACTTTCTTTGAAAACTGGTACAAGACAAGGATGCCCTCTCTCACCACTCCTATTCAACATAGAATTGTAAGTTCTGGCCAGGGCAGTCAGGCAAGAGAAAGAAATAAAGCGTATTCAAATAGGAAGAAAGGAAGTCAAGTTGTCACTGTTTGCAGATGACATGACTTTATGTTTAGAAAACCCCATCATCTCATCCCAAAAACTTCTTGAACTGAGAAACAACCTCAGCAAAGTCTCAGGATACAAAATCAATGTGCAAAAATCACAAGCATTACTATACACCAACAATAGGCAAGCAGAGAGCCAAATTATGAATGAACTTCCATTCACAATCACCGCAAAGAGAATAAAATACCTAGGAACACAGCCAGCAAGGGATGTGAAGGACCTCTTAAAGGAGAACTACAAACCACTGCTCAAGGAAGGAAGAGAGGACACAAACAAATGGAAGAACATTCCATGCTTATGGATAGGAAGAATCAATATTGTAAAAATGGCCATACTGCCCAAAGTAATTTATAGATTCAATGGTATTCCCATCAAAATACCATTAGCATTCTTCACAGAATTAGAAAAAGCTATTTTAAGTTTCATGTGGAATCAAAGAAGACCCCATACAGTCAAGACAGTCCTAAGCAAAAAGAACAAAGCTGGAGGCATCATACTACCTGACTTCAAACTACACTACAAGGCTACAGTAACCAAAACAGCATGGTACTGGTACCAAAACAGACATATAGACCAATGGAGCAGAACAGAGACCTCAGAAATAGCACCACACATCTGATCTTTGGCAAACCTGACAAAAACAAGCAATGGGGAAAGGATTTCCTATTCAGTAAATGGTGCTGGGAAAACTGGCTAGTCATATGCAGAAAACTGAAACTGGACCTCTTCCTTACACCTTATACAAAAATTAACTCAAGATGGATTAAAGACTTAAATGTAAAACCAAAAACAATAAAAACCCTAGAAGAAAACCTAGGCAATACCATTCAGGACATAGGCATGGGCAAAGACTTCATGACAAAAAAGCCAAAAGCAATTGCAACAAAAGCCAAAATTGACAAAGGGGAGTTAATTAAACTAAAGAGCTTCTGCACAGCAAAAGAAACTATCATCAGAATGAACAAGCAACCTATAGAGAGGGAGAAATTTTTGCAGTCCACCCGTCTGACAAAGGTCTAATATCCAGAATTTACAAGGAACTTAAACATATTTACAAGAAAAAAACAATTCCATCAAAAAATGGGCAAAGGATATGAACAGATACTTCTCAAAAGAAGACATTTATGCAGCCAACAAGCATATGAAAAAAAGCTCAACATCACTGATCATCAGAAAAATGCAAATCAAAACTACAATGAGATACCATCTCGTGCCAGTCAGAATGGCAATTATTAAAAAGTCAGGAAACAATAGATGCTGGGAAGGCTCTGGGGAAATAGGAACACTTTTACACTGTTGGTGGGAATGTAAATTAATTCAACCCTTGTTGAAGACAGATTCCTCAAGGATCTAGAACCAGAAATACCATTTGACCCAGCAATGCCATTACTGGGTATATACCCAAAGGAATATAAATCATTCTGCTGTAAAGAGACATGCACATGTATGTTTATTACAGTACTATTTACAATAGCAAAAACATGGAACCAACCCAAGTGCCCATCAATGATAGACTGGATAAAGAAAATGTGGTACATATACACCATGGGATACTATGCAGCCGTAAAAAGGAATGAGATCATGTCCTTTGCAGGGACATGGATGAAGCTGGAAGCCATCATCCTCAGCAAACTAACACAGGAACAGAAAACCAAACATTGTGTATTCTCACTCAAAATGGGAGTTGAATATTGAGAACACATGGGCACAGAGAGGTGAACAACACACACCAGGGCCTGTTGGGGGGTGGGGGTGAGGGGAAGGAACTTAGAGGATAGGTCAATAGGTGCAGCAAACCACGATGGCACACGTTTACCTATGTAACAAACTTGCATGATCTGCAGATGTATCTTTGGTGTTTTAGAAGAAATAAAGAAAAAAAGAAAAATGATTTATTTAATGGAATTGTTATGGGAAAGCGGTCCTGATCCAGACCCCAAGAGAGGGTTCTTAGACCTTGTGCAAGAAAGAATTTGAGGTGAATCCATAGAGTAAAATGAAAACAAGTTTATTAAGAAAGTAAAGGAATAAAAGAATGGCTACTCCATAGGCAGAGTATGGAGCAATAAAAGAATGGCTACTCCATAGGCAGAGCCCAAGCAGTGGCTCGGGCTGCTTGGCTAAGAATACTCATAGTTATTGTTGATTATATGCTAAACAAGGAGTGGATTATTCATGAGGTTTCCAGACAGGAAAAGGGTGGGCAATTCCTGGAACTGAGGGTTCCTCCCTTTTTAGGCCATATAAGGTAACTTTCTGATGTGGCCATGGTATTTATAAGCTGTCATGGTGCTGGTGGGAGTGTCCTTAACATACTAATGCATTATAATTAGCATATAATGAGTAGTGAGGAAGACCAGAGGTTGCTTTCATCACCATCTTGAATCTGGTGGTTTTTGGCCATTGTATTTACCACATCCTGTTTTATCAGTGGGGTCTTTTGACCTGTATCTTGTGCCAACTACCTATCTCATCCTGTGAGTTAGAATGCCCAGCCTCCTGGGAATGCAGCCCAGTAGGTCTCAGCCTCATTTTACCCAGCTCCTATTCCAGTTGGAGCCACTCTGGACACTGCTGTCTGACACTCTGACACTGCTATCTAATATGCTTTGTGTTTCTCCCCATGCCATAAAATGGAATATGTTTTCAAAGTGTTTTTCTCGTGCAATATGTGATTAAGATTTCTTTACCCTCCCCCTTCATATAACATAATTCATTCTAAAGCTAAAGATGGTGAATGTTTTTGGAATTGTTCCTTTAGGGTATTCTTGGCATTCTTACATCACCATGGGCTGACTCCCTCTCTATTTTTTTACATCATGTTTTTGAAAATGAAATAAATGTGCCCTTATTTATTAGGCTTCCATTTATCCTTCCAGATGGGACTGAGAAGGGATATGCTTATGTGAACTTTAACTACAGCGGTACCTTGCTGGCGTCTGTCGGTAGCAACCCTGACTACACACTGACTATCTGGAACTGGAAAGAGGAACAACCCATACTGAGGACAAAAGCTTTTTCTCAGGAAGTTTTTAAGGTTACTTTCAATCCTGATAATGAAGAGCAGCTTACTACATCAGGATCAGGCCACATCAAGTAGGTCGGGTAACCAATAGAGGTGCTAGTATGTATCACAGGAGTATTTTTCTAAGAGGATCTAAGAGCTGGAGACTTTTTTTTTTTTTTTTGCTGTTTTGGTTAACATTAGAATTATTTAAAAGTATGTTATTTTAAAAGCTAACTAGTAATGCCCCTTTTCTAATTAGATATGTGGGATTTTGTTTCTGCAAACAGCATAGATAAAATAAGAGCTTTTTTTTTTTTGAGATGGAGTTTTGCTCTTGTTGCCCAGGCTAGAGTGCAATGGTGTGATCTCAGCTCACCGCAACATCCACCCGCTGGGTTCAAGCGATTCTCCTGCCTCAGCCTCCTGAGTAGCTGGGACTACAAGCACCCACCACCATGCCTGGCTAATTTTGTATTTTTAGTAGAGTTGGGTTTCTCCATGTTGGTCAGGCTGGTCTTGAACTCCCGACCTCAGGTGATCCACCCACCTCGGCCTCCCAAAGTGCTGGGATGACAGGCGTGAGCCACTATGCCCAGCCAAATAAGGACTTTTAACTATAGTCTGCTGCCTTTTTGTAGGCTCCAACTCCTAAAAGAGTTTGTGTAGTGTCTTAATAACTAAAATCGGGATGGTATTTCCAAATTCATATTGAGCTTTCACATCCACTACTGAATTTCTTGTTTGTAGCAACTCAGTCTTCATCTGTAAGATAAGAATTATCACAGTATCATTCCTGACAAGGAACACTCAATACGAAACAGTGGCAGAGCCTACTCTTGATCTTATGTCTTGCTCCAAACTTCATGCTCTTTTCATTGTATCATACCCTTGTCTATTTCCAGGGTGCAATGATCTTGTCTTTCTCTATCTTTGTTCCCCTTTGTCTCATGCATTTGCGTAACAATCTTCTACCACCCCAGAGCTGCCCATAACTTGATTATCAGAGTCTCTTTAAGAGAAAGACATTTTTATCTATCCTAAATTCCTCTTGTCTCAATTTAAATCTGGTCTTTTTATTATTCACTCATTAGAAATATAGACTAATTGAGCAGATTTTTAATTGTAATCTTTGGGGAATTTTCAAATAAACTTCTGCTAGCTATATGTTAAAATTTTCCAATTTCTTATATTTTCTGATTATTTAGTAAAATCTGTATTTTCTATGCCCCATATCTTTGGGGAAAAGGCAGACATTGAACAGTTAATTTCATGTGTGAAGTGCTATGAAGGAACCCAGAGTATATGGAAGCATATCATCAGGGGACCTACCATTCCCTTGGACAGGATGTTGGCTATCTAGGCTTTTGGCTTTGTATCATTGGCTTGTTGATACTCTCAATTATCTATTTTATATCTACTTGTATATTTCTTCTTTTTCTATGTGGTCTTCATCATCCTGTCCATTTGTTTAGACTATTAATAAGAAAATGTTAGTAATAACATTTATTGATTGCTTTGATATGCTAGGCACTGTTCTAAAAATTTTTCAACAGTTTTATGAGGTAGGTGTTACTAATTTTCTCATTTTATCCCTGAGAAAATGAAGGCACAGGGTGATCTAGAAAAGTGCTCAAAGTCACACAGTTTGTAAATTAGAATTCTTTGGAAAACTTTTATATCTTCTAAAACAATACTGTCTAAGAGAACTTTCTGACAGACTGGGAATGTTCTATGCTGTCTAATACAGTGACTGCCAGCCACATGTAGTTACTGAGCACTTGAAATTGGCTAGTGTGACTGAAACACTAACATTTTGATTTTATTTTATGTTAATTACTTTAAATCTAAATTTAAATAGTCACACACAGCTGGAGGCTACTGCATTAGGTAGCACAGCCCTAAAATATAAGATGCGTGAAGGCAGGAAATTTTATATTTCACCTATTTTGATCATTGCTGAATTCATATTGCCTAGAACCTTGCCTGACAGGTAGTAGATACTTAATAAATCTTAATCAGATAAATAAATGAATGAATGAATGAAATAATATATGCAACTCTGAAATATGCAAATGGGTCATATTAAAATAAAAATCAATAAAATATCTTTGAGGTACATTCAGTCTCTTTCTTGTTTGTAGGTTCTGGGAAATGGCTTTTACATTCACAGGTCTCAAGCTGCAGGGATCACTAGGTCGATTTGGCAAAACAACTACTACTGATATAGAAGGCTACATGGAACTCCCAGATGGGAAGGTGAGTACAGCCACTATTCTACAATATTAAAATTGTGTTTTTAAGTACATATATGAAAGCACACATATGTGAAAATATATTACATTCTAACAAACTCTGCCAATAACAGCTATTATCATTGTAAATGTAATGAAAATTTAATTTTACTTATTCAATTATTAATTGTAATTAAAATATTTCCCTGAAATTGTCATAATCCATATGTACCCACCATTTTCTATTTTCTTTTTACTAAATATTATACACACATATAAAGTATGTGAGCATTTTCATATATTAACATAATGACATATTTGTTACTTTTTTTTTTTTTTGAGACAGAGTCTCGCTGTGTTGCCCAAGCTGGAGTACAGTGGGGCAATCTCCACTCACTGCAAGCTCTGCCTCCCGGATTCACGCCATTCTCCTGCCTCAGCCGCCTGAGTAGCTGGGACTGCAGGTGCCTGCCACCATGCCTGGCTAATTTTTTATATTTTTAGTAGAAACGGGGTTTCACCATGTTAGTGAGGATGGTTTCCATCTCCTGACCTCGTGATCCACCCGCCTCGGCCTCCCAAATATTTGTTACTTTTAATTATGTCACAGAGTTGCAGTATTTATATTACTTATTTTTCCCCATTTTGTCTGGCTATCATGATCCAAGAAGACTTATTGGGTCAAAGGTTATATACAGCCTTGTGGCATTTTTTTTTTGTCAGATTATTACTCAGAAAGAGCAACCACTTTATAGAGGCATCTGCAACATTGCAACTGTAATCTGCTAATTTATTCTTTAATATTGTTAGTTGCTTTCCTTTCTTCCTCTTATAAAATTTATAAGCATATTGCCTGAAATAATAGTTAATTAGGATTAGTTCTCTATCAGTATTTTACATAGCTTCCTATTAGAATGAATTATAGATTATTATTTGTGATCATCTCAGTTGTAAGTAAATGCCAGCATACAAATATTACTCTAAGGAACCAAGTGGTCTAGTCATCTACCTGACTGAATATTCTCAATTCAAAAGCATGGTATAGAGGAGGAAGTAAAAAGCCTTGGATGCTGGCTAAAATATACCTAAATCCATGAGATGATCTTAAATCATCCCAGCTTCAAATTCTCAATAGTGTAAGAATTAAGCTAAGATAAAGGTCAATAGAATCCTTGTTAAAAACCTGGTATGAGATATATATTTTTCAAGGGTTGGTAGAATTTTTATAGATATAGGGAAGAAATAAGCCATTTTAAATGATAGAGCAACTAAAGGAAATATTTAGCATTAGAAATAAATATCAGATTTTTAGAGGGCAGATTGGAATAAACCATTTATGTTGGCAAAGAGTGGAGACTTTTGGTTGAGAAGTATGACTGGGTGCTAGTGTACAAGGAGTTTAATAGGTAGAGAACTACTCTACATGGGAAGAGTAGACTTGCAAATGAAAGAAGTAATAAACAAATTTGGCCATAAAATGCCAGGTTGATTAGAAGAAGGGAAATCTGGAATCAAGGAAATGAGCTAGAATGGAAGCTGTTGCTGTCATCTAAAGAGAGATGATCAAGGGCCTAGACTTCTTGGAACAAATGGAAAAGGCAAGCTAGATATGAGTCACATTTCAGAAAGGAATGCCTTATAGGTTTTTGTCATCGTTGCTGGCTTTCATCACTGGACAGAAGAAAATAAGTCTAAACACTCCACCATAAAAGGCTGAGGCTTAAGAACAGAATCAGTAAAGTTGGTAGAGTTGTTAAAAAATAGGTAGACCCAAGAAATAAAAGACTGAACAAAATCATCAGTTTCTCTAGATAAGGGGGAGATGGAAATGCAGACCTCTAGAGCATGGAGGCAAAAATTAGAATACAGTTTCCCAAAGTAAATTTTTATGGAACATCAGTCTGTACAGAAGCTCCATAAAAATAAGACATTTTAAGTCAAATTCCTTTGTATCTAAAAATTCGTCTTGGTGATTCCCAGCAAATACTTCTCTATTAAAAGTTCCCAGGGGTCCTAGAGAAAATAAAGTTGTTTGACTTTGTTTATCCTAGCATCTGCCTTCTGGGGCTGTGTAGTCAGAATAGGAGGTTTTGAGCCACCTTGCTTGTATTAGAATGCTGACTGGGTAGTTTTGGGCAAGTTACTTAACTGTTTTGTGCTTCAATGTTCTCCTCTGTAAAATGGGGGTAATAATAGTCATGGCTACCATTGGCCCATATGGTTCCTTTGTGGGAGTCAGAAAAAGCTGTTTCTTCTATGAGAATGAGGTACCCAACATGCACAAGTGTACATGGTATCCCTGATAAATGTACCTAGTTCATACAGTTTTTTGCATTAAATAACTTAACATATATAAAGTACGGAACCAGTGCTTGGCACAGAGTCAATACTCAATAAATATTGCTTTATTTTGTGACGCTTGTTTAATATCTTAACAACTAATGTTTGGTGGCATGCACTTGGGAAAATGCCAGATTAAACAGATTAATTTGAGAAAAGTTTTAGATGATTAGCCTTGTTTGAAATTGGATACTATTATGCTATAATCTACTTAATTCAGTACTGGCCTTACAAGTTATCTAATATCTAAAATTTGACAGTATTACATTTAAAAAGTAGACTCTCATCTAATTCCACTCCTGTCTTTTGTCCTAAGAGATGTACCAAGAAGTCTATTGTATACACACAGGAACAATTACCAACAACATACAGCCTAATCACAAAGATGTAAAACTGATAATAATCCTGGAAGGAAATACATCAAAATGTTAGTAGTAGTTGTGTCTGGGGTAGTAGGTCTTCATTTCTGTATTTTTTAATTTTTCCATTTAAAAATGTTATAATCATTAAAAATAACCTTAAAAATAATTTTCACCTACTATTTGAGGCATAAATACATACACTTACCTGTTTTGATGCACATTTCTTTTTTCCACATATCTGCCAGGTGCTCTCAGGGTCAGAATGGGGCAACATGCTGCTTTGGGAAGGTGGTCTGATCAAAGTGGAGCTCTGTCGAGGTACAAGCAAGTCATGTCACAATGGTCCCATTAACCAGATAATGCTGGATGAGGGTGAAGTTATCACGGTTGGGTCAGATGGATGTGTTAGGGTAAGTTTTCTTGATACTTGGACGGTAGCACCCACGTTTAAGACTTGTAGATCACCCAAAGGGTTTTATTTCTCATAAAGGTTATTTTGTGAAGGAGATCAGTAGTCATTTACTCTCCAGCCCAACTCACTTTAAATAATGCTTCTCTTGTGGTAAATATTTGCATTCTTGTCAAAATTAATTTACTGCATTTTACCACTGAAACTTTGAGAGGGCCTCTTGTTATTTTGATTCTGTTGAAATAATAACTTCAGAAGATGAAAACTCATGTTAGCACAAGATGAACAGTAGACCCACATATCCTTCCAAAAGGCTCCATATGAATGGGCCATTTTGTAGGAACAAAGGTGCTGAACATTTGTTAGTTATTTTTCACTGAGGTTACCAAATAGAAATACACCCAGAGGTGAACTGATGGAGTTTGCCTATGAATGCTACATTCTTCTTGCTCCGTATGCTAGGGACCTCACTTGCTTTCTCTTGTGGACACTCTTTTGCCCAAGCCTGGGCTAAGCTGGAACATTGCTCTAGCATCTAAGTCCCCTTGATTGCTGTTGTCACACTTCTCCTGCCTACTCTGTGTAGCACTTTCTGTTCATGAGTATGTTGATCCGCTGTGGCTGGTCAACCTGTAGCCTTGGGATTTGCCTTGTAGTCCTCTTGGTCGAAATTTTCAGTGGGGCCTTTCATAAGAAAGTGGTAGTGTTCTATTGACATTCTTTAAGAAGTGTTATCAAAAGTGAGATTGTATTTTTTTTTAAGTCTGGTCACTCTGTTGCTACCGATTGAGCTTACTGTGTTTAGTATTGTTTAACCCATATCTCCTCAGTGGGTCTTCTTACCACTGGCTTTTTGAGCCCCAGTGTATGTTTTTACTTTTACAATATTAAATTTAATCTTGTTAGATTTCACACATTGCTCTGAGAATCTTTTGTGTCTTTTATTTTGTCATATGATATATTTGCTGTCTTTCTAAGACATACATTACCCGAAAAGTTCAAATAACAAGTAGGAGAAAACTTCAGGAGAAAAGAAGTTAAATATTTCATATAGGATCCCTTCATGGACACCAGTAATTCCTAAGCTTGTTTCTCTTTTCAGAGTCTGTCCTTATCTTTTCAGTCCTTCACACAGTAAATCTCTACCTCTTACCGTTTAGAGAAAACCTAGCCCAACTCCCAGGGGTTAGTCTGATCCTAGTCTGATTCTTAACCCTAACCCTGACCTTCAGATATTTCTCTTCCCCCAACCAGGCTAATCTATGGGACAGTCTCCCCATAGTTCCTTTCTCAAAGACTCAGTTATTCAGTCTAGGATCACATGGCAGGGTATGTCGCCAGAACTGTCCAGAATGAACTTTGGCCCCTCACAGGGGAGGTTCTGCTGAGCCTCCTTGCCACCGTGAGGTAAAACTGTGCTCCCTCACTCTTCTTGTAGTATTCTGGACTCCTCTCCCAATGAGCAACAATCTATACTTTACTGTCTCACTGTGAGATAGTAACATTTACTATCTCACTTACTATGAAACATGTTTGGTGGTATGCACTTGGGGAAATGCCAGATTTTCCCAATGAGATAATAAAGTGTGAAATATTAATATTCAGGAAGAGAAACTCTTTCTAATGGAGACTTTATCTACATCTATATTGTTTGCTTCTAATGAGATAGTGCTTGAGTCATTAAGCAAGAAGGTGTATTTCCCCCTTCCAGGGGTCTGCTGGTGTGTAGAAAACAGGGTTCATTATGATGTCTTGCTGAACAACTGAACCATATACTCCTATGGCCACTTTATGTAAAAAGAGATCTAATAGAAACCTTGAAATAAAATTTGTTTTGGACAAATTAAAATTCTTATGCAAGGCTGTACATTCTCACTAATCTTTATAAATGTAAAGGAAACTGTAATAACTTACCATACCTTAGTTCAGAGTAACATTCCAGGGTTCAGGTTTTGGTGTTCTTATCACACCTGTTCGTTGTTACTTTTCATGAAAGAACAAGAAACGACTTTTGAAAAAAAAAGTCAGGGTTTTTCTGGCTTAGAAAATCAATGTTCAGAAACTACTGATTGATTAAAATATTTTCTTTACATTTTACAAGATATGGGATTTTGAGACAATAGACACTGCTGATATAATAGATGAGACTGGATTGTTGGAGATTGAGCCTATTAATGAACTTCAAGTAGACAAGAATGTGAATCTCTTCTCTATGACAAAAATGAGTGAAACTGGAAATAACTTTTGGTTGGCTCAGGTGTGTTGCATTCTTCTCTTTTGGCTCTTTAACATTACAGGGACAAAAAATTAAAATAATAGTATGATTGATTTGCCTACAAGTCCATTTGACTGTAAGTGTTACGAGATTGCTTATTGTGTGGCTGCATTCTAAAATATAGAAGTTGTTTTTATTAAATTTCGATTATACTTTAAAATATATGTGAGCTTTTGAATTGCTTGTCCTTACTTTATTAAATCATAGGAAAAACATTTAAAAAATTTGATGAAAGTTTAAAATGATAAAACAAAATACTATTTAATTTTTTTAGGATGCCAATGGAGCCATATGGAAGCTTGACCTTAGTTTTTCAAATATTGTAAGTTGCCTATTATTCTTATTTTCCCCAAACTTTCATAGTAAAAACTTTTCTTATTTGTCTTTAAAGTATTCTTTATCTTTCTCCATATTTGATCATGGTTCTCATAAAAATCTTGTCCAACATGTGCTACTCTTGAGAATTCTCTCTCATTATGATTTTACATAAAAAAGTATCTATCTCATAGCATAATTTACAAGAAAAGTGGCAGTGACAACAGCTAACATTATTAAGTGCTTTATAGTTTTTATAAATATATGGAATTTTCATTTATTTTATCTCATGTGATCCTCATCGCTACCCTATTTAGTAGGCAAGCAACTGTTATCTCATTTTACAGATGAAGAAATGGAAACTGGCATTTGAAGTGACTTGCGCAAAATCACACAGCCATTAAGGGCAAAGCCCAGGAGTCTATCTGGTTCTCCTAAATCTGAACTCGTGTTCTTTCTAACTTTTTGGGCTTTTTCTTACTTCTATGCAAATAAAATCACACATGTGTTATATTTTTCCCTTTGCATTTTTTAAAACTTGATCTTAATTCTATGTCACCTTGTCTTTGAAATCTAGTAAGTGTCTGTCTATTCTCAGACCCAGGACCCAGAATGCCTCTTTTCCTTCCATTCCGGAGCTGTTGAAGCCGTGGCTGTTTCTCCTCTCACTTATCTCATGGCCACAACTGCCTTGGACTGTAAGTAGGAACCCTTAATAAAAATATATCTGGCCTTGTTTTGTTTTATTTGCAATATAATTTTTATATGTGTTTGACTTAAGAGCATTTGAGGATTTTCCCAAAAGGGGAGCCTCTTGAATGCAAGTGAGGTGAGTTGCAGAGACGAGAGGGCACAAAACGCAGCAGCCATGGTTATTGTGAGAGATTAAAATAAGGACACAATCTGTAAATTGTTCATGAAAATGCTGCTCATTTTGATATTGTCCGCATTTGTCTTTTTTCTATTCTTTCCATCTCCTTTCTTCCTTCTTAACTTATGGCAAATCCATATGGACTATGCAAGGTGAAATTGACCCACCAGTCAATCATCTGTTTTATTCTTTATTATTCATGTTTATGAATTACCTGTTTGAGGTTGTACATGAAATTTTTTACAAAAGAAAGTTATTGACTGATTTAGTTAAGAAATTTCTTTTTATAGTATTCAATAAGTAAAAAGTAAGCAGACTTAAAAAATTATGTGTATAATTTTTTTCTTTTAAAACTGTCTTTCCATAGGCTCTGTTCGAATCTATGATTTTGCTAGCAAAACTCTTTTGACTCAGATGAAATTCAAACAAGGAGGTACTGCCCTTGTTTGGGTACCCCGAATGGTAAGTTTGTTGTTATAATGAATTACCAGAATCTGTTGGTAAATATGGTATATCAATGCTATTTCTTGGAAATATAGATATTTGCTGACTCAAAATTTTAAGGAATAATAAAAGTTTTAAGTTAGTTTATTTTAGTCAGAATGTAATAGAAATCTTTACCGTGATTGTTGTTATGGGTTTGGTCTTGTTTTTAGTGAAATTTCTGTTTTTATGCCACCTGTAGATTCGTAATAGTTTCATGTTGCAAAGCAGTTTCCCAACAGAACTTTGTGTCTCTAGCCTCGACCCATCTGACTTTGATTTCATTCATCCTATTAATATTTACAGAGTGCCAACAATGTGCCAGGTCTTGTTTTAGATTCTGGGAATATAGCAGTGAATAAAAAGACAAAAAACACTTGCCCCTCATGGACCTTATGCTTTAGTGGGAGGGAGGCAGAGACAGATAGTAGTCAAAATAAGTAAGTTAAGTACATTTTATGTTAGATAATTACAAGAACTATAGAAACAAATTAAGCTGGGATAGGGAGTTGTTCCATTTATCAATTGCTGTGTAATATACTATCTCAAAATGCAGTGGCATAAAATAATCATTTTGTTTTGTTCATGTAGTCTTTGTGTTGAGATTCGGGTGACAGCAGGGATGGATTGTCTCTGCTTCAGGGTGTCTGGGAACTCAGCTGGGAAGACATGAATGGCTGGGCCTGGAATAGCCCAAAGGCTTCTTGATCACAAGGCTGTCACCTGGGTTGGACGACTTGAAGGCTAAGCTATGCTGGGACTGCCAATAGGAGTGTTTATACATAATACCCTCTCCATGTGGCTTAGGCTTCATCAGAACATGGCAGCCTCAGGACAGTCACACACTTTTTACATGGTAGCTCAGGGCTCCAAGATCTAGTGTTCCAACAGTAAAGGCAGAAGCTGATGATCTTTTATGGCCCATTCCCCAGAAGTTAAAATATCACTTCTACCATACTTGATTGGGTGAAGCAGTCACACAGTCACAAGCCCCATACAGAATCAAGAGGAGGGGACTTAAACCCCATCTCTCCATGGGAGGCACATCAAAGATTTGCAGCCATATTTTTAAAATGCCATGGAATTATTTGGGGAAATATTTAATCTTTATTATTTTGGGTTGAAATTAAAGAGAAAATATTCCAGGCTAAAAGTAAATGTGGATATAACTGGAATGAGGGGGAATTTCATGATGGGATCAAGACCAGAAGGAGAACTTAGTCCAGGGAACAGAGCCAGCTTTGTGATGAGGCTAGAGCAAGTAGAAATGACAGAGCGTTTGGATTGGCAGACCTAGCTCACTCACTATCCTAATCTAGTTACACTCTTAACTGAAGTCTTAAAACTACAATCCAGGTAATTGAATTGTTTATTCAGATGGTTGTGTAATGTTCACAGCATGTTTCCTTTTTTAGGCTTGTATCCGAGTAATGATCATATGGATTTTAAGCTACAATTAAAATGTCCCTTCTCCATACCCCTTTACCTTTCTGGAAGGCTACACATCAGTCTTTATGACCCAGCTCAGGTCAGACATCATCTCTGCATAGCCCTCCATGAATCTACCTTCAAGTAGAGTTAGGGCCTCCTTCCTCTGTGATTTTTTTCCCCTTAGTGCTTATGTGTATATCTCTTACAGCATTTATCACAGCATACTAGGATTATGTGCTTTATTGTCTTTCCCACTAGACTTTTTTCATGGTGACAACCATGTCTTATTCTTTGCATCTCCTGTGCCTCTATAGTTACTGGTACATTTAGACACTTAGTAAATTTTTATTGGATAAACAACATTCAACTGGAGTTGAATGGTGTACAACTTTTTTATTCCCCAAATTCTCATAACTGATTGTCATTGAGCTCTACAGGATGCCCAGGCTCTTCCAAGACAGCAGATTTGGTACATTCAGACATTGGTAGATTTATATCTCCAGCTGAGACTTTATGAAGACTCTTCTTAATGTGACGTGGAACCCATTTTATCATCTACTGCTTGCCTGTCTTCCTCTCCAGCCTCCCGGGGAAATGTTCTCTTACTCTAGTCATACTATAACTTTTTCTTGAATTCTGTTATTTCCTGCCACAGGACTCCTGCAGAAGTTATATTCTCTCTTAGGAGTGCTTGTCCCACCTTCCTGTACCTAGCTAATTCCTGAGCATCCTTTTGTTATCAGCTCCACCATCTCTTTCTTAGGGAAGCCATAAGTTGAGGTCAGCCTTCTTTGTTATATGCTCTCAGAGAATGCATATTTTTCTTTTAGCACTTATTTCAGTTCATAATTTCACACTCATTTATGTGATGATTAATGTGTCCAACCTTTCACTAGACCAAAACTCTGTGAAACCAAGCACTGAGTCTGTTTATGTTCACCACTGAGTGGCTGATGATAGGTGCTTAGCATGTGGTAGGCAGACACTCTGCTGTTTGTTCATTCAATGTTTGAATTAACATTATTTATCCTTCCTGTGGTCATTGATTATAAAGAGATATACTAGAATGGATAGTGGTTACCAGAAAGTGGTATAAAGGATTGTTAATGGGCAGCCAATATTAAATTACCTAAGTCTAAATAAAATATCTGTTATATAGTCCAACTTTCTCAATTAACTCGTTTCAGGTCCCTTATCTTTAATTTTTTCCAAGGTAAACTTCACTGGAGCAGAAATTATTGTAGGATTTGAAGATGGAGTTGTTCGAGTTCTTGAACTTTATGATCCAAAAGGGCTCACGATTTTTGTGGGACGGAAGAAAATTTCGGATGCCGATATTCGCTTGAAACAGGTTTTCAAACCCCATACTGCTCGTGTCACTGCTTTAGCTTATGAACGTGATGGGGAAATTCTAGCCACAGGGGTAAGCAGTACATTTCCTTTCTTTTCTTGTTGAAATTTTATAGTTAACATTGCCTTATAAGTACTCCTACTTCATCATGTCTTATTTACTGAAATTCATTTTCTATCAATATATTCATATTTTGCTTTCTTTATAGTCATATTCTTTCAATGTAGTCTGTGAATAGCCTTCTTTTTAATCAGAATGGAGCTGGAGCATGTGAATAACACTTAAAAATATTCTTGCAAATTGAATTCTAATGCTTATTTTAAATGAATAGGAAATTTCAACTGGGGACCATGCTAGTTGTATTGTTTATAATCAGTATTTTATTCAACATAGGTATGTTCTTATATAGAATTGTCATAAATGAAGAGAATAACCAGGTAAATTCTTTATGTACTAGTAGGCGAGCATATGCATGATAGAATTTTTTTGTGTGCATTTGTGAAAGTATGGTGATCATATTTTCAGAACCACATATTGAAACGCATGGTTTGCCAAAAGTTCTAATGGGGAAAATGGAGCAAGTTTTAGAAATAAGAATTCTCCTAGAATAATCTGGGATATATGACCATTGTAGATAGAGATAGCGTATGCTATTAAATGCTTTTTTTGTGATCTATAGACTAGATTTCATAGTAATATATATTTGGTGGATGTGTCTTTTTCCTTAGAGTAAAGATCAAACTGTTTTCTTCTTTGAAGTGGAAAGGGATTATAAGCCAATTGGTTATATTAATACTCCTGGACCTGTGTGTCAGTTAATGTGGTCTCCTATGTCTCATGTAAGTCATTATTATTTGTCTTCCTGCTTAAATCTCAATTACTACATAGTGAAACTATCTTGTAGATAGAGAATAGCAGGTGGAATTTTTAGCCCACTCCTGGTTCCTGCAGTGAGGGTCAGGGATGCAACAACAGAAAGTTCAGGTGGCTGCTGCTGGGGTTGGCCAGTAGAGCATCACTCAGGAGCCTTCCTCTCTCTCACTGCCTCCTTTCTCTTTCATGGTCTTATTGGTTGACCATAATCCTCTCTCAAAACCCAGCGTTTTTTCAGGCTTTCCTCCAACGGGACTTTTGGCCACAGGCACGACATGTCGAAATGCTTTCACCTTGATCAGTCAGTCTCTCTGAGAATCAGAAGCTGAATTCTAAGGTCTGAATGTATTTTTCCTCATCTTTATCTCTTTGCTTCTCCTCTGCCCTCAATCCACATCGATTTCCTCTTCTATCCTTTTATTTCTTCTTTCTTAGCAATTGGTAATTCAGTATTGATTACTAATGTCTTTTAATGTCTCCAGTTTTACTAAATGTGAGCATATGATAATTCAGTCATCTAAATATTGATTGACTGTCTAAACCAAGTGCTGTGCCAGGTGCCAGGATAATAATACTGACGAATTGCATAGAAGTGCCATCAGGATTCTTGGAGTAACATAGATAACCACTATAAGGCTTCTAAAATAAAACAGGGGGGGGGGGGGGGGGGGGGGGGGGGGGGGGGGGGGGAGGATGACATAAAGAAAAAAAAAAAAAAAAAAAAAAAAAAAAAAAAAGTGCCATCAGGATTCTTGGAGTAACATAGGTAATCCACTTTAAGCTTTTCTAAATAAAAGGACCAGAAAATACATTAATATTATCTTAAAAATGCTTTTTGAAATTAGTCAACAAATACTCATTGTTTCTATCTTTTCTAGGCACTGTGGTGGATTAAATAAGCAGTACAAAACAGTCTCTTGAGGAGAAAAAAATATACATTTAAAAAGTTAAATATACCTTATCATTGAACAATAAGGTTTCACAAAGGAATTGATGACTAAAATATCAATGGTATAGACCAAGCTTGTCCAACCCATAGCCTGTGGGCTGCATGCAGCCTAGGATGGCTTTGAATGAGGCACAACACAAATTCGTAAACTTTCTGAAGACTTTATGAGATATTTTGCAGGTTTTTTTTTAGCTCATCAGCTGTTGTTAGTGTTAGTTAGTGTATTTTATGTGTGGGCCAAGACAATTCTTCTTTTTCCAGTGTGGCCCAGGGAAGCGAAAAGATTGGACACCCGTGGTATAGACAATGTGTGTTGTGAATTTAGAGCAGGGAACTATCAAGAAAGGAAGAAGTTAAAATTAAGTTATTATTTTGTATTACTGTACCTTGATTTTGAGAAATTGGTAGGATATGACCAAATGAATAAGAGATGGGTACAGATGGTTCAGGTGAAGGGAGTGGTAGCTGCAAAGGAAGCTCTGTGAGAAAGCATGAATGTTTATATCACAACGTAAAACATTATGTGCATCCTTTATTCACTTCCCTAGATACAAAGTTAAAAAGATCAACCAACATTTGCCAGGGGTTGGGGTGGTGAGTGGGAGGGGAGTAGGTGTGACATTAAAGAAGTAGCTTGAGGGAGACCTTTGTGGTGATGGTATAGTTTTGTGTCTTAATTGTCATGATGCTTACACAAATCTACACATATGAGAAAATGATGTAGAGCTGTACACACATTCTGTACTAATGTCAAAGTCCTGGGTGGTTTTGTATAGTTGCATAAGATGTAATCAGTGGTAGAAACTGAGTGAAGGGTATGTGATACCTCTGTGTACTATCTTTTCAACTTCCTGTAAATCTATAATTATTTTGAAATAAGTTAAAAAAATTAAAAGTAATTATTGGTTTATTTGTGTGGCTATAATGGAATACTTGAGGCTGGGCAATTTGGCTTATGGCTTTGCAGGCTACACAAGAAGCATGGTGCCAGCATCTTCTGGTGAGGGCCTCATGGGCTTGTACTCATGTCAGAAGGTGAAAGGGATCTAGCTTGTATAGAGATCATGTAGTGAGAGAGGAAGCAAGAGGGAGAGCGGGGAGACCAGGTGTGGTGGCACACACCTGTAATCCCAGCACTTTGGGAGGCCAAGGCAAGTGGATCACTTGAGTGCAGGAGTTGAGACAAGCCTGGGCAACATGGTGAAACCCTGTCTCTACAAAAAATACAAAAATTAGCCAGATGTGGTGGTGCACGCCTGTAGTCCCAGCAACTCGGGAGGTTGAGGTGGGAGGATCGCTTGAGGCTGCAGTGTGCCAAGATCGCGCCACTGCGCTCCATCCAGCCTGGGTGTCAGAGTGAGAGCCCATCACAAACAAACAAACAAAAGAGGGAGTGGGGGAAGTGCCAGGCTCTTTTTAATAACCAGCTCTCCTGGGAATGAATAGAACAAGAACCCACCCCCTTCCCCACCCAGGGAAAGCATCAATCTATTCATGAGGCATCCACCCGCAAGACCCAAATACCTCCCATTAGGCCCCATGTCTAACATTAGAGATCAAATTTCAATGTGAGATTTGTAGGGGACAAACAACCTGTACCATGCAAGACCAAAACACTCAGCGTAATTTAAAAGTCATTTTGGGCAGTCCTGCTTGCTAGCACTTGTATTTGTAAAATCATTTGCAAATTACTAAAGTAAAAAGTAAATTACTGTATGTAACTGACCTGCTGCAGACTTTAATTGTCCAAATTGCAGTAGATCTTAGCCCTTACCAGCTGAAATATCAGATCTCATATCTGAGCATAAAGCATTAAGCTTCTGCCTAATGGTTTTGGGTGGTTCCGGTAAGGGTGCGTCCCATGTACACACAGAGCCATTCTGTCTGCCATGGTTACTACCATGTTCACTTTGGCAGCAGTGTGGAGAAGACACAAGGGAGCCAGGTCAGGGGCAGGTGGATCTATTGGGCAGCTGTGATGTGACTAGAGCATGAAAGACTGTGCAGACAAGAGATATTTAGAAGAGAAAATTGACAGAACTTGGTGATCTTTTATTTTTGTGAAGATAATTTGGAGGTGTCTAAATGGAGTTCATTATAGTCTCTCTAAGACATGTTCTTCCTACATACCATGCTCATGGATAGGAAGAATCAATATCGTGAAAATGGCCATACTGCCCAAGGTAATTTATAGATTCAATGCCATCCCCATCAAGCTACCAATGAGTTTCTTCACAGAATTGGAAAAAACTGCTTTAAAGTTCATATGGAACCAAAAAAGAGCCCGCATCTCCAAGACAATCCTAAGTCAAAAGAACAAAGCTAGAGGCATCACGCTACCTGACTTCAAACTATACTACAAGGCTACAGTAACCAAAACAGCATGGTACTGGTACCAAAACAGAGATATAGACCAATGGAACAGAACAGAGTCCTCAGAAATAATACCACACATCTACAGCCATCTGATCTTTGACAAACCTGAGAGAAACAAGAAATGGGGAAAGGATTCCCTATTTAATAAATGGTGCTGGGAAAATTGGCTAGCCATAAGTAGAAAGCTGAAACTGGATCCTTTCCTTACTCCTTATACGAAAATTAATTCAAGATGGATTAGAGACTTAAATGTTAGACCTAATACCATAAAAATCCTAGAGGAAAACCTAGGTAGTACCATTCAGGACATAGGCATGGGCAAAGACTTCATGTCTAAAACACCAAAAGCAACGGCAGCAAAAGCCAAAATTGACAAATGGGATCTCATTAAACTAAAGAGCTTCTGCACAGCAAAAGAAACTACCATCAGAGTGAACAGGCAACCTACAGAATGGGAGAAAATTTTTGCAATCTACTCATCTGACAAAGGGCTAATATCCAGAACCTACAAAGAACTCAAACAAATTTACAAGAAAAAAACAAACAACCCCATCAAAAAGTGGGCAAAGGATATGAACAGACATTTCTCAAAAGAAGACATTCATACAGCCAACAGACACATGAAAAAATGCTCATCATCACTGGCCATCAGAGAAATGCAAATCAAAACCACAATGAGATACCATCTCACACCAGTTAGAATGGCGATCATTAAAAAGTCAGGAAACAACAGGTGCTGGAGAGGATGTGGAGAAATAGGAACACTTTTACACTGTTGGTGGGATTGTAAACTAGTTCAACCATTATGGAAAACAGTATGGCGATTCCTCAAGGATCTAGAACTAGATATACCATATGACCCAGCCATCCCATTACTGGGTATATACCCAAAGGATTATAAATTATGCTGCTATAAAGACACATGCACTCGTATGTTTATTGCAGCACTATTCACAATAGCAAAGACTTGGAATCAACCCAAATGTCCATCAGTGACAGATTGGATTAAGAAAATGTGGCACATATACATCATGGAATACTATGCAGCCATCAAAAAGGATGAGTTTGTGTCCTTTGTAGGGACATGGATGCAGCTGGAAACCATCATTCTTAGCAATCTATCACAAGAACAGAAAACCAAACACCGCATGTTCTCACTCATAGGTGGGAACTGAACAATGAGATCACTTGGACTCAGGAAGGGAACATCACACACAGGGGCCTGTCATGGGAGGGGGAGGGGGGAGGGATTGCATTGGGAGTTATACCTGATGTAAATGACATTGATGGTGCAGCACACAACATGCACAAGTATACATATGTAAAAACTGCACTTATGCACATGTACCTAAACTAAAGTATAATAAAAAAAAAAAAAAAAAAAATAAAGTATAATAATAATAAATAAATTAAAAAAAAAAAAAAAAAAAGACATGTTCTTCCTCCCGTATTATCCTTGGACTTCCATTTTCCCTGTCACTAAAGCCAGAATCTTGAGAATTATTCTTGTCTTTGTTACTATTATTTTTTATTTTTGTGGGTACATGATGTGTGTGTGTGTGTGTGTATATATATATATATATTTATGGGGTACATGAGATATTTTGATAAGGTGTATAATGCATAATAATCATACCAGAG